TCTCGCTCCTTCTTTCGAGACCGCACCACACTCACGCCGCTTGGCCGGCCAGTTGCGGTCTCTCTGGCAGACCCCTCTGGGGGTCCTGTCCTTGCTCACTTCTCCACTGTCCTCCCGTGTCCGGCGGCCCCCTCTGGCACCCTGTCTGGTCTTTACCTCCCCTCGTTCTCTACGAACTTGGTGAGTGGTGCTGACCTACAGGATGCGGGGGTTCACCAGTTCACTCCTGGGAGTCAGCGGGTGACCCACTGCACGGACGCTCGGACTGGCCGACACCTGGCCACGTTTACCCGTCGGCCGGGGTCGAGCCTGTACACCCTGACCACTGCGTCTCCTCCAGTCACTGCGTCTGGTCAGGTAGCTACGTCAGGTCAGGTGTTTGCTGCAGCGTCCAGGTCTGGTCCTGAGTCTGCCCCCTGTTCGTGTCGCCTCCTGTCTCACGAGACTCTCCTCTGGCACCACCGCCTTGGTCACCCCTCCCTGCTTCGTCTCCGAGGCATGGCCTCCCGTGTCCTTGTCTCTGGTCTTCCCCGGTCCCTCCCTCCCCTTCCTCCGGGGCCTGGCCCTACCTGCGTCCCCTGTGTCGAGGGGCGGCAGCGGGCTGCCCCTCACTCCTCCCAGTTTCCTCCGACAGAGGCCCCGCTGCAGACGCTTCACATGGACGTGTGGGGCCCGGCCCGCGTCCGTGGACAGGGTCACGAGCGCTACTTCCTGCTGGTGGTTGACGACTACTCGCGTTACACCACAGTCTTCCCCTTGCGCAGCAAGGGTGATGTCACTGAGGTGTTGATCGACTGGATCCGCGCAGCTCGTCTCCAGCTCAGGCAGAGCTTCGGTTCGGACTTTCCTGTTCTGCGTCTGCACTCTGACAGAGGTGGAGAGTTCTCCTCTGGCCTTCTGCGAGCCTACTGTCGAGCACGAGGCATCCGCCAGACCTTCACGCTTCGGGCTCTCCACAGCAAAATGGGATTGCTGAGCGCCGCATTGGCATGGTCATGGACGTCGCCCGTACGTCCATGATGCATGCGGCTGCCCCCCATTTTCTGTGGCCGTTTGCGGTTCGGTACGCGGCGCATCAGATCAACCTTCACCCTAGGGTCTCCAGACCGGAGACCTCCCCTGCTTTGCTGTGGACGGGGAAGGTTGGCGATGCGTCTGCGTTCCGTGTCTGGGGATCTCGGGCGTTTGTCCGCGACTTGTCTGCGGACAAGCTGTCCCCTCGTGCTGCTCCTTGCGTCTTCCTTGGCTTCCCCCCTGACGCGCCAGGGTGGCAGTTCTACCACCCCACCTCTCCCCGGTAGACCCCCTCCCCCCTCAGGGTCCTGCCCCTTCAGGTGTGTCCCAGGTAGACGCAGTCGAGCCTGTCGAGGTTACTGGTGACTCTGGTGCTGCTGAGGGTGCTGAGCCTGGGGGTGCTGAGTCTGGGGGTGCTGAGCGTGTGGGTGCTACGCCTGGGGGTGCTGAGCCTGAGGGTGCTACTACTGGGGGTGCTGAGCCTGGGGGTGCTGAGCCTGGAGGTGCTACTACTGGAGGTGCTGAGCCTGGGGGTGCTGAGCCTGGGGGTGCTGAGCCTGGGGGTGCTACGCCTGGAGGTGCTGGGCCTGGGGGTGTGGAGCCTGAGGGAGCTGGGCCTGCTTGTGTGGCGTCTGGCGGTGCTGAGCCTGGAGGTTCTCCGGGTGCTTCGTCTCGGCGGGAGCCACTCTCTCCACAGGAGCTGCGCGAGTGGTTTGCCCGGCGCTGGAGGCGTGCTGCTGGAGCTGGAGGTTCTTCGGCTACTGAGGGTGCTGGTGCCGCGGGTCCCGGAGGTGCTCGTACTGGGAGTACTGGAGCTGCTGGACCTGCGGGTACGACTGGAGCTGGAGCTGCTGAGGGTGTTGACGCTGAGGCTACTGCTGTCGGTCCTGGAGGCGGGCCTGCTGGGGGTGCTACTGGTGCTGCTGGAGGTACTGGAGCTGGAGTTGCTGCTGGCGCTGGTGCTGCCGCTTGGGGTACTGGTGCTGTCCCTGCTGTGTCTGGAGTCGCCGCGCGGCCTCGGCCGTACTTCGTTCCGCTCCTTCAGCAGGTTCTTGGTCTCCCGCCTTCTACTGGCCCTCCTCCTCCCTTAGAGAGTCCACAGCCTGTCCTGTCACAGTTACAGTTACAGCCGGCCTCCCCACTGCCCGCTCCTTCTCCCTACACTGGTCCTACTGGAGGTCTTGCTGAGCGTCGTGAGCCTGCGTCGCGTCCTGCGTCGCCTGTCCGTACTGCTCGCGCTAGTGGTCGTGGTTCGCGTCAGCGTCCTCCTCCTGTCCCTGGCACGCACCGGATGTCTCTGCGTCCGTCCACTGCTCCTCTGCGTGCCCCTTTGCCTTCTCCTCCGGAGTCCTCTCTTCCTGCTCTTCCCGACCCAGAGTCGGACTCTCTTCGTTCTGCCAGTCCTACTGTCACGCGTCTCCTTGCTACTGTCGTCACTGACCCTTCCTTTGCGTCCACTGCTGCGTCTGCCCAGGTTGCTGAGCTCGTCGACTTTGCTGCTCGCTGTCGTCTAGACTACGCTGCTTGTCTTGTCGCTGAGTCTGAGTCTGTCTGTCCTCCGTCCGTCGGGGGTGAGTGTGCCCTTGGCACGGACGTCCTTGAGGACAGGCAGGAGGAGTTCCAGTGTTTGGCTGCTGCTTCACCTCATCTCGTGTCCGTACTGCTTACCCCTGAGGGAGACCCGGATGCACTTGACATCCCGACTCCGCGCTCTTACGCGGAGGCGATAGAGGGTCCCTACTCCTCTCAGTGGCAGGCAGCTATGGACACAGAGATGGCTTCCTGGAAGTCCACAGGTACCTACGTTGACGAGGTTCCCCCGCCTGGGGCGAACATCGTCAGTGGCATGTGGATTTTCAGGGTGAAGCGGCCGCCGGGTTCTCCGCCTGTCTTCAAGGCGCGTTACGTGGCTCGTGGCTTCAGTCAGCGGCAGGGAGTTGACTACTTTCAGACCTTCTCTCCCACCCCGAAGATGACCACTCTTCGGGTACTGCTGCACATAGCTGCTCACCGCGACTACGAGCTGCACTCTCTTGACTTCAGCACTGCTTTCTTGCAGGGCAGCCTGCACGAGGAGATCTGGCTGCGTCGCCCACCTGGCTTCACTGGGTCTTTTCCTCCTGGCACCCAGTGGAGCCTCCGGCGGCCAGTCTACGGTCTCCGCCAGGCACCGCGTGAGTGGCACGACACACTGAGGACTACACTTGCGGCTCTTGGGTTTGCTCCCTCTACTGCCGACCCGTCGCTGTTTCTGCGCACCGACACTTCTTTGCCGCCGTTCTACATCCTCGTGTACGTCGACGACTTGGTCTTTGCCACAGCTGACACTGCTGGACTCGCCCACGTGAAGTCCGAGCTCCAGAAGAGACACACGTGCACAGACCTGGGTGAACTGCGCAGCTACCTTGGCTTGCAGATCACCCGGGACAGAGCACGCCGCACCATTACCCTGACTCAGTCACACATGGTGCAGCAGGTCCTTCAGCGCTTCGGCTTCACGTACTCCTCGCCTCAGGCCACTCCTCTGCCTACTCGCCACTCGCTCTCAGCTCTGCCTTCGGATGAGTCCGTAGAGTCGAGTGGCCCGTACCCAGAGCTTGTTGGCTGCCTCATGTACCTGATGACCTGCACACGACCTGACCTCGCATACCCTCTTAGCATTCTCGCACGCTATGTTGCTCCTGGGAGACACAGACCGGAGCACATGGCTGCAGCGAAGAGGGTGTTGCGTTACTTGTGCAGTACGTCGGGCATGGGGCTTGTGCTTGGAGGGCAGAGTCCAGTGGTCCTCACTGGGCACGCAGACGCTTCTTGGGCTGACGACCAGGCTACGCAGCGGTCGTCACAGGGTTACACCTTCAGCCTTGGTTCCGGCTCTGTTTCGTGGCGGGCTACCCGCTCGTCTTCTGTTCTCGGCTCCAGTTGTGAGGCTGAGATCTACGCCGGGGCCATGGCTGCACAGGAGCTTCGCTTGCTCACCTACCTGCTGACTGACCTCGGAGAGCCGCCTCGTTCTCCTCCAGTGCTGTACGTAGACAACAAGGCCATGCTGGCCTTGTGTCGAGAGCAGAGACTGGAGCACGGAACGAAGCACATTGCTCTCCGCTACTTCCTTGCTCGTGAGCTACAGCAGCGTGGTCAGCTGCGGCTTGCGTACGTGGCCTCTCAGGCCAACACTGCTGATATCTTCACCAAGGCACTTGCGCCTTGTGATCATCAGCGCTTCTGTACTCAGCTGGGTCTTGTGCCCACCTTGCCTCACTTGCTCACCCCTTGACCTTGTTTGTACTGATGCATATATATATATACTCCTGCTCTTGCTTGTCTAGCCTTATATATATATGTAATCCTGCATGTGAACTGGCCTTGTGGCCTTGAACTTGTGCTCGGAATGTGTGGTGACTTTGTGATCCACCCTGAGCTTGTTTTGCTTTGCTTGACTGGTCCTGTGACCCCTTGTTCTCCCCCACTTTGCCTATGGGGGTGTGTCAGATTTATATGACATAGCTACTGTAGGCTATAGTGGGGTGGCACATATGGGGTACAGTTTTCTAGGGTTTGTTTTTTGTACCCAACTTTCACTTAGTCATTTCATTCCTCGTTTCTTCTCAGATCTCTAGTGCAGGTCTTTTGATACCCCCCCCCCCCCCCCCTCTCACTGGGATGCCCTATGACATGGCACAACGGCAACGACACATGGGCGCCAGCATGTACGCACATTGGGATTCGAACCCGTGACCTTCGCTTTGATAGCATGACAGATAGAATGAGCTCGTTAAGTAGCGGATGAGTACGCCCATAACCCTCTAGGCGAGCGTGCCTGTAATTTTTATTTTGGATCAATTGGGGATCTCTAGTGCAGATCTTTTGACATTCATTCCACCGGCTGGTGCGGGTAATGGCGACGCGCCGTTACGGCATTAGAACGTTCTTTTGTTATACTTAAGACCCCTTTTAACCCCCTCAAGGACCGGCAGGTGCGGGCGATGGCGTCGCTGCGGCATGAGCACCTGGTGCGCCTGTTGGGCTTCTGCCTGCATCAGAACGTGGAGAGCGGCCAGCAGGAGCAGATCCTCGTCTACGAGTTCGTGCCCAAGGGGGACCTCAAGTACCACATCCATGATTCAAAGAGTGCGTTCTCTCTCCCACCTTCGCCCTGCCATTTTCTGCTGGAAATGCTTCTCAAGTACCACATCCATGACTCCAAATGTATGTCCCTCTCTCCCTACATTTTGAGTGAATAAAGTGCCCTAAACTTCTACCAGCGGGGACCTCAAGTACCACATCCATGACTCTCTAAGTGCACGACCCGCCTGCCTGGAACAGCCATAATTCTACAACCGCAGCTTTGCCACTTGCTTCCTTTTCAATATTGCCTCTGTTCCTCTTTCTGGCGTCACTTATTTCCTTTTTTGCCACCCCATGTCCCCTTCCCTCCCCCCAGCGCCCCTGACCCTGAAGCAGCGGCTGCAGCTGGCGGTGGGGGCAGCGGAGGGAGTGGCGTATCTGCACAGCTTCGCGACGCCCATCGTGCATCGCGACCTCAAGCCTGGCAACATCCTGGTGGGCGAGCACAACCAGGCCAAGATCGCCGACTTTGGGCTACTCAAGATGCTCAGCCATGCCGACGGCGGTGACGACCGCACTCGAGTGGCCGGCACCCCGGGCTACCTCGACCCCGACTACAACCGCACTCAAGTCGTCTCCCAGAAGAGCGACGTCTACAGGTGCTGTTCCCTCACTATGTCCCTCGTGTGGTGCGATATGTGAATACCTAATAAGCAGTTGTTCAAGTCCGACTCGATATCTCGGCTGTCAGTATGTTGTCTCCATTACCTTGTTTGAGCATCATCTCATCCCTGTGGGGACTTTCTCCTTCCCATCATCGAGCACCTATAAGTTTTTTTGCACCTTCCCTTCCCTGTTCTCCCCACAACCCGTTGAACCAAAATCGTTGGAGCAGCTTTGGCGTGGTGCTGTTGGAGCTGCTGACAAGGCAGAAGGCGGCCGTGGAGGGCACAGACAGCCACATTAGTGAATGGGTGAGTGCATGTATGCATGCATGGTGGAATGCGTGCGTGCACTTTAACCAGCACCTGTTGTGGAGAGCACACCTGGTGGGAGCACACCTGGTGATTTGCATGGGTTCCTAGGTTGAGCAGGGGAAGAAGCATGGTTGATTGAGTCCGGGGCATGCATGACCTGCACTGCCACGTCTTTGCCGCCTTTCCCTCTTTCATGCTATGTTATTCAAGTTGACTCATAAACTATCCATTTGTCATGGTTTTTTTGTCAGAAGACCAGCACTGGGGATGCCTGATTGATCATAGGGAAAGATTACAGGTGCAGAGCCTGGAGGGTTATGGCGCACTGACCCGATACTTGACAAGCACTTTTATCCCAGTTGTCTAGTGGCTGGGATTCTGACATGGTATCAGAGCGAATGTCTATGTTCGAATCCACATGTGTGCACATGTTGACGCTGCCGCTATGTCGTGTCCTATGGCATCCCTGTAAGGGGAGAGTTAGAAGACCAGCACTGGGGATGCCCGATTGATCCTAGGGAAGTGTTACAAGTGCAGAGCCTGTGGGTTTATGGATGCATTGATCCGCTACTTGAAAAGTTAGTGGTCTAGTGGCTGAGATTCTGACATTCTTATGCAACCTCTCGCTTGTCAAAATGCAAGGTGCGTGTTTATGAGCTGACCCTTACATCACCCTTTTGTATCTCTTTTCCTCTTCCCAACCTCCCTTCTCCCAGGCGGCACGCAAGGTGCAGGTGTACGAGTTGGGGGAGCTGAAGGACGCGGGGCTGGAGGCGCCGGACGAGGCGGTGGTGGAGCTGGCAGACATCGCGCTGGACTGCCTCAAGATGCCCGCCTCGCGCCGCCCGCCCATGAAAGACGGCGCCCGCCGCCTCCAGGATCTCCTCTCGCGCTACTGCAGTGATGCCGACGACGTTTCCTCCCTTGTTGAGCCTAGTCTGAGGATGGAAGGGGGACGGGTGAGGAGCGAGGGTGGCAGCACGGACACGTTTGGGAGGAGCGAGTGGTCGGAGGGAACGAATGGAACATCGGCTTCCAGAAGTCTCGTCCATTCGCTATCTGAGAAGTGGCGGATGATTGAGTAGGACGAGACAAGAGGTCGTTATGTCTGTGTTGACCAAAGGCTCAGAAGTGCATTAACACATTGAGGGAGCACCAGATTATGTTTGAAAACCCTCCACCGAGGTGGTTTTTGCATGTTTTTTTACTACATCCAAGCTTGGTAAAGTATCCCACTTGAAATCAGTACCAGTACCTTTCACATGTGTTCTTACATAGTGGACTGACCTGGAAACCAGCAAGGTTTCTTCACCTGAGATGGGACGTAGTGAATACTGGTATGGATCGATTTTATATGGAACATCGCCCAATCCCTTTATGTCAAGGAATCTATAATACTTTTATCCCTTTTTGCATTTTGAGTCCCACCTCGGACCACTAGCGAGTATACGTTTGTCGCAGGTCTGTTGCACCGTGGCAGTGAGCTCCTCAACCAATCAGAGGCGCTGAATTGACGTGGCAACAGCTTCCAGAGTTTCGAGAGAGCGATCAATTCCCGTAGTGGCAGGGTGATGAAAATGCCGAGGCAATCGAATTTCGTACAATCATCAGCAGTACAAGTTCCTATCTTCCTGGCACTCCCGAGGGACAAGCACAGATCTACCAGATCGGAGCACTGCTGGCTGATCAGAGGACTCCCATTAGCAGTCTGGTCTGCTCTATCGACCTACGGAATCCGCGAACGTTCTTATTGCGGCTGGCTATAGCGACCGTTCAGGAGTGACGCTGTGAGTCAGCATGGAGCTCCTTCGGCCGAATCTGTCGCTGGCGTTCCTCGCGGCCGCGCTGCTCGCTTCTGTCACCGGCATCACCGCGCTCTACGCCCCCTCGTCCGACGTGGCCATTCTCTCGCCCTCCAACTTCAAATCCGCGGTACGCAGCGTCGCTTCTATTCTTCTCCTCTAAACTTACCTGCCACCAGTCGTTCCGTCGCTGCTACATCTCCGTCGTACCCTCGCGCCTCTCGCCACCAGCCTCATCTCTCGCATCTCCCCCATTAACTCATTTTCCTTTTCCGCTCCATCCTAATTTCTCACTCTGAACTCACACCTCTCGCCGTCCCCCCAGGTGATCGAGTCAGGCGAAGTCGTGCTGGTCGAGTTCTTCGCGCCGTGGTGCGGCCACTGCAAGAACCTCGCGCCCGCATGGGAGAAAGCCGCGACGGCGCTCAAGGGAATCGTGACCGTCGCAGCCGTGGACTGCGATGCGAACCCGTCGCTCGCGCAGGAGTACGGCGTGCAGGGCTTTCCGACCATCAAGGTGTTCGCGCCGCACCTCAAGACGCCCGCGGATTTCCAGGGCCAGCGCGACGCCAAGGCCATCGTCGACTTTGCGCTCTCGCAGGTGCGGTACGAGCGCGAGAGTAGCGAGAGTGGGAGAGGCACGAGCAAGAGTGTGGCGACGGCGCGAGAAGCGCTGAGCAGTTTCGTTTAGCAACACGATACCAAACAGCAATTCGGAAAGGGCACATTGGTGGTTAGAATATCCCAGCACAGACCACCGCCATTCCCGTCCTGGCGCACCTTTTTTTTTCATATCCCGTGAAATAAATTTCTCGTATGTCTTATCGCGAGTACCTCATAGGTCTCCCTCTCATCACTCTTTTTCCTTCTCGTCAGGTGAAATCGCTGGTCAGCGCGAGGATGGGCGGGAAGGTGGGCGGCGGCGGCGGGGGCAGTGGCGGCGGGCGGAAGGCGGAGAGCGGGCCGAGCGCGTCGGTGGTGCTGACGGGCGATAACTTCGACGACCTGGTGGTGAACAGCAAGGAGCTATGGCTCGTCGAGTTCTTCGCCCCCTGGTGCGTTGCATTGTGTTGCACGCTCGTTCGCGCGTTGCCGTTCGTTCTTGGGTCCGCTTGCACAACGGGGGAACAGGCCTGGGAAGAATGGCAGCAGTTGTTTGCGCTGAGGCTGGTTAACCTCCCACCCCCCTTCCCCCGCCCCCACCCCCCCCTCCCCCTCCCTCCCCCCCTCTCCCCCCCCCTCTCCCCCCCTTTTTTACACAACAACGCTACTCTATTCAGTCATCTGAAATAGGACCAAGTGTCTGATACTTCAACGCTCTCCATCAACACTCTGCCAATGCCTCGCACTTCGTACCTATTCATCCGCCATTTCCTCCCTTGTCCAATCTTTGTCCAATCTTCATCCCTGCCTCTGCACCCCCCTTCCCCCCAGGTGCGGGCACTGCAAGAACCTCGCCCCCGAGTGGAGCGCAGCGGCGCGCGCGCTCAAGGGGAGGGTGAACCTGGGGCAGGTGGACTGCACAGTCGAACAAAACCTCGCGCAGCGCTTCAAGATCCAGGGCTTCCCCACCATCCTCGTGTTCGGCGACGACAAGGAGAACCCCAAGCCGTACGATGGCCCGCGCGTGGCGTCAGGCATTGAGTCATATGCGCTGGAGCTGCTGGAGCAGAATATGCCGCCACCCGAAGTGTACGAGATCACGTCACAGGTGAGCGGGGATTGGCTGTTTGCTGGTTGCTGTTAAGTCACAGGGGCTTGCGTGTGGCGTCTGGCATTGAGTCGTATGCTCTAGAGCTGTTGGAGCAGAACGCGCCGGCGCCTAAGTGCACGAGATAACGTCGCAGGTGGGTACAGAGTGTCTCTTGCTGTTGCTGTTGCTGTTGCTGTTGCTGGCGTCGCGGCTGTTGATTTTTGCTAGTTGCGTGTGCACTCAGCTGAGGCATGCTGGCAGTGCGGGGAGGTGGACAAGGTCGCATTGTGGAAGAGCAGAGTCGTTTCAACGTGCACTTCACATCAGTGCTCTCTGTCCCTTCAGTTTATTCCTTCGCCACTCTGGCCACTGCTTGCGCTTATACTGTCTCTTCTCCCTTCGCTCCCTCTGCTCCCTCTCACTCCCACTGCTCCCTCTTCTCCCCCCACCTCTGCCCGTCTCTGCCAACCAGGACGTGTTGGCAGGATGCACGGGCTCCACCATCTGCTTTGTCACCTTCTGAGGTGACTCAAAAATCGTCTCCCTCCTCTCCCTCTGCTCCCCACACCTCTGCCCGTCCCCACTCTCTCATTGTCAACCAGGACGTGTTGGCGGGATGCACGGACTCCACCATCTGCTTCGTCACCTTCCTCCCACACATCCTCGACAGCGCTGCCAGTGGCCGCAACAAGTACCTCGACACCATTCTCGCCGTCGCTGACAAGTTCAAGAAGAACTTCTACAAGTGAGTGCCTTGACTGAGACTGCTACAAGTGGACTCAGGAGAGAGGAGGGGCGCCTCTCCTGTGCCGCTCACTCAGTGCGGGTCAGTCAGTCTCATGAAGGCCTATCGTTTGCTATCATTGTCACAACCCTGCAATGTCCCTGCTCCCTTCCCCTCACCCCACGCTTCCCCCGCCCTCCCTTGTCTTCTCTCCTCCCACCCTCTGACCCCGTACCTCACATGCATCCGCAGGTATGTGTGGGCGGAGGCTGGGGCACAAACTCTTCTATGTCGCCTGCTCCCTCCCGCTCACCCACGTTGCCCCTCCCTCCCTCTCTCTCTCCTCCCACCCCGCAACCCCATGTCTCACATGCATCTGCAGGTATGTGTGGGCGGAGGCTGGGGCACAGCCGGCTCTGGAGAAGGCCCTTGGCGTGGGGGGCTATGGGTACCCGGCTCTCATTGCCCTGAACGCCAAGAAGCAGCGGTTCAGCCCGTTCAAGAGCGCCTTCGAGCAGGAGCACCTGAGGTGAGCAGAGCAGAGAAGAGGGCATGAGGTGAGCAGAGCAGAGAAGAGGGCATGAGGTGAGCAGAGCAGAGAAGAGGGCCTGAGGTGAGCAGAGCAGAGAAGAGGGCCTGAGGTGAGCAGAGCAGAGGGTCTCAGGTGAGGTGAGCAGGAGCACCTGAGAGCATAGCAGGAGCACCTGAGAGCAGAGCAGGAGCACCTGAGGTGAGCAGAGCAGAGCGCCTCAGGTGAGCAGAGCGCCTCAGGTTATCAGTGCACTGGGAGAAGTGTGCTTGAGCAGAGTCAACTCAACTAGTGGTCTGTTTTCTCACCGCCTACACACTTCAAGACTGTCGTGGCGACTTTTCTTGAGTTCCACAGTGCTCTTCTGATGCCTGCTCCTTGCCTGATTCACTTTACTGGTTCACTGTTTAACTCTCCGCTCACCCCCTCTCCTCTCTCCCTCCTGATCTCTCCTGTCCCTGTCCTTTAACAGTGAGTTCGTGCGCCTGGCGGCCCGGGGTGGGCGGGGCATAGAGCCCGTGGAGAGCATTCCGGAGGCGGAGAGCAGGGAGCCATGGGATGGCAAGGATGGGCAGGTGGTGGAGGAGGAGGAGTTCAGCCTGGAGGATCTCATGGGAGATGACTCGCCGCCTGCTGCTGCTGCTGATGACGAGCTCTAAGGGCACTGGATGCTGGGTTTTGGGGGGTGTTTTGGATTGGAATGTTACTTCAGTGAAACATAGTAGGTTGCAGCTTGAGGCTAACAAGTTCTACAGTAGTTTTACAATTCACCGCTTTGTTGTCCGGACAGCGTGAGGAATCCTTCTATTGGAAAATGCATGCCTGAAGTGTAAATCTGTGGTGTGTGGATCATTGAATGTTCAAGAGAGAACCACAAATTTGTTCAACAGATTTAAAGCTTTGCGCGTCAAAAGATTACTGCTTGATGACTATAATGTCATTTCAACTAGAGCACAACTCTCTATAATGTCAACTCCACCAGATCGATTGAAATCCGGATGAAACGATCGACACTTGGGTGATTTCAATTCCTAATGTACCTACCGGTATGTCACATACTACGCCCATGCGCATATAAGATTTACCACATTATCCCCGGACCCCTATTTTTTAATGGTATATTCAAAACACACCTGTGATAATAACCGGGACCATGCGGTATACAACTTAAGCACGATGACCCCACAAGGCAGTAAGCATGATGACTCCATATAATGAAGACAAAATGCTCAGAAATCAAAATGTCACAAGCAAGTGAAATAAAGAAAGTAAAACAAGAAAGGAAGTTAAGAAAACACTACGGTAACACGTGATACGAGGGCCACGAGCCTTAACGATACAGTAAAGGCTCATTGACCAATACCCATGTTACTCATTTCGTTACACCGTGGGCTCAACAACCCTACTCAATCATCCGCCACTTCTCCGACAGCGAATGGGTGAGCTTGGACGCGCCGCTCGTTGCCTCCGACCACTGACTCCTCCCAAACGTGTCCCGACTGATGCTTTCGCCACGTGGAGTTCCCACCATGCGAAGGCTGGGCTCTGCAAGGGAGGAGATGTCGGCGTCACTGCAGTAGAGCGAAAGGAGGTTCTGGAGGCGGCGGGCGACGTCCTTCATGGACGGGCGGCGCGAGGCGGGCATCTTGAGGCAGTCCAGCGCGATGTCTGCCAGCTCCACCACCGCTTCGTCCGGCGCATCCAGCCCCGCGTCCTTCAGCTCCCCCAGCTCGTATACCTGCACCTTGCGCGCCGCCTGGGAGTAGGAGAGGTGTGGGGAGAGAACAAGGGAGGATTGTGAAACACAAAATGTTAAAGACAACGGAAGTCTTAAAATGGCATTGTCATACTGAATGTAAATAACAAGATGGAAAAAAAACATTACCGTACCTACGTTGTTTTATTTAGACTTAGCTAGCCATGTATGCTGAGTGGTACATCTTATGACAACCGTACTTCTATCTTATAATCATCTTGTTCTCTTTCAATTTATTGACAAGGTCATTACAGAGACTTCACAGTTCTCTCCCTTATACTTGGCAACCTTATTCTATCCACTACGATTCTTAGTTATAACATCAGCAGGCATGGGGAGTACATAAAGGGAAACCCTAAAAGGGTTGTACTCTCTGTTGAGTACCCCACTACAGCCTACACAACAATATGCATTTTGACAATTTGTTAGCGAACTAAAGCTATCCTTGCATGGTGCAGTCATCGTAGAGGACCGGGGTATAATTCCAGTTGTCCGCAGGCTTCTTGTTATCCTTTTGAAAGCTTTGTACGATACAATCGTGTGAATTATGCCACTTCGATCCGCCTACTTTCCTTCGATTCCAGCGGTTCCCCTTAACTGCATCCCACTCTCCAAGGGTCGTGGCGGTTGAAATATGTCTTCCATTCCCCATAGTATGTGCTCTCTTGTACTGGATACAGTGCTAAAAGGGATTCTCGTCCTTTTACTATCTTCGGAGTAGTGTAGGGCTTTTAGACCTCGGCTTTAACTACCTTGCTTGCTGCACTGTATCAATCTGAATGTGGTTACGACCGTTATAAAATCTTGAACAACAACCTCGCGAGGCTCCCTCATCAGCGAACATTAGGACGATCCAGCTCGTCGCACCGCGCATTCCGATTTCCCCAACTAGCTGCTCTGTCCAGTTGCTCCAATTTTCCCAATCGCACTCCCCGATGTTTCTCCCTGCGTTTGCGTGTCGGCCTTGCGTCGATTGCTATCTCACGCTGCGCAAAGGACGGACGCGAACGCGTCGACGACTCGCAACTTAGTTGCTCGTTGATACAAAAACGAGCCAGTAACCGTGAATTCTTCATCCGTCGCTTCTCGCCTACTTCCTCGCATAGTTCAGCCAGTTTATTATCGTCTCGCCTCCTGCTTCCTCGCACAGTTCAGACAGATTATTCTCTTCTCGCCTCCTGCTTCCTCGCATAGTTTCACTTAGTTGCGGGCGTTATCGCATCCATTACCTGTTGCTCATTGATCTGGCTATCACAACCATGTACGGCGGCGGTCGCGGCGAGGGGAAGCACATGCTGCCCAGTCACCAGCAGGGGTACCGGACCAGGTTGTCATCTTTGCCTTCACTCAACGCCCTTATCGTCGCCGGTCGCTGTAACGTCTAGGCGGTTTTTTTAGCGAGTTTGAAGTGCGCGCAGTTTCTGTGTTGAGTCTGCTACAAGATACCACCTAATCGTGATCGTGACTATGTGTTTTCTGTAATTGCACGAATCTTCTTCCTCCACTCGTCCTCGTCCAGGGATATTCTCTTCCTGCTGGGTACCCTTGGCGTCGCGGGTACCATCGCGACGGTTGTAACTGGCACTACAGTTATTGGCGGAGGCGGTTTTCTCCTCCTCATATCGCCGCTCCTGCTGCTCTTCTCCCCGATCCTCGTCCCGCTCGCCATCTTCGGCACCGTCGTTGGAGGTAAATTAGCTATCTATGGATTGGCATTCCTGCTTGCTCGACTTGCTAGTGGGCTTCTCTCATTTCCAATTTCTTCGTGCCTACAGTTTCATTTTTCATAGGAGTTACGAAAATAATGCTCTGATTTTGTGGCTTCAGGTGGAGGACTCTTCATGGCGACGATGACAGCCATGGGTGTGGGGTCGCTCGTGTGGTTCATCAACTACATGCGCGGCAAGAAGCCCATTGGGGCTGAGTCCCTGGATTACGTGGCAGGCGGCGTGAAGGGCGCAACTGAGTACGTGGGGGACAAAGTGAGCCACGTCACGCACTCTGCTTATGAGGGTACGGCTAGGGTTCTTGGGACTGGAGGAGGGCCGACCTGGTAGGAGCAGTACAAGAATCTTCTGCCGCTGCCTATTGCTGGGAAGGGTTTGAAGTGCTGATATTTGTACATTCTTGTGTATAGCATAGCAATCTGTAAATTGTGTGGAATTGTATCCTGTGCATATAGATGTTAGTATGAGCTCTGTACTCTTTCCTTGAACTTGCTCCATCCAAAATATTGTCACATGGCGTTTGATTCTTTGCTTTCTCCCTCGGCTGAATATTCGTAATTTTGTGAAATTACTGTAAGATCACGATTTCCGCAGTAACTATCGAACAGCGGAAAGCACCTCAGTAGCGAAGCGACCAACCAACCACCACCTCCATCCCTCCCACATGTCTGGTCCACTCGACAAATTTCACCGCCTACCTAACGCGACTCGTCTCCACATCTGAACTCCTCCAGAAATCCTGGTTGGAAACAGCATTTCCCTAGCCACTGGTATGGTACTGAAATAGTATTAGTAAGGGCGGATAAAGCAACCACCAAACACGTTGCAAAAGCAGAATTAGTACCTGAAAAGTGGTCGGACGTTCTTAGAGCCGCGTAGTGGTGTTCTTCTGAGATAATATTAATATCCTTCAGGTCCTGTCAAATCAACGATTTCCGCAGAGCACACGGGCAAGGCACCGCGCGTGCCGTACTGTTTGCATGAGTCATATGTTCCATGTACTACCAAACTCTAAACTCTCGAGGCTTGTACCACCAAAACTTGTAGTTTCCCAAAACTGGTAACACCGAGACTGTTAACTCCAAGGCTGGTAACACCAACGCTTCTACGACCAACGGTTTGCCGTCAAGATGTCGTTGTCGACATGGAAGCGGCCCGGCGTCAGCAGCGCGGTAGCAGCGGCGGCGTTGGCGGCGCTCCTCGTGCTGCTCTACTGCCTCTCGCTCTTAGCCGGCGTGCCATTGCTCGGGTTCAGCTCCGCGGGTTGCGCGCAACAGCAAAGGTGGGATGTAGTGTGTGGTGCACCCTCTACGGACTCCTAAGGCTTGCTCGAATTCCTCGTCGTTCGAAGATATCTCCCAATAAGACGGGGATATTCCAAGTCGACTCTAAACCCACATCTAGGGTGTTTCTCTCACATCTAGAGGGTGGGCCCTGGCCTGGCACTGTATACAAGTTGGTCCCCGCTTTTCTATCTAATCAATGCTTTTTGAACGATTTTCTCACATACAGCCTTTTTTCTCCCTTCCTGCATCAGCATTCCCCTGGCGCGCGCGGAACGTGCACGTGCGCGGAGTCTCCAGCGCTAAAGCCCTTTCTTTCCCCCTTTTCCTTCCCCTTCCCCTCCTGCGCCGATTCCCCCGCCCCAGCGACATTCTCCTGGCGCGCACGGACGCGGACGTGCGCAGTTCCGCCAGCACGGCGGGGCTGTTCGCGGAGCTGGGGCGCTGCGAGGCGCAGCTGTCGCGCCTGCTGGGCGCGGCCAAGGCGCGCGCGGAGGGGCAGGAGGAAGGGGAGGCGGCGGGGAGGAGCGCGGAGCCCGCGGAAGGGGGGAATCCGTTTGAAGGTGTGAGCGCCGCTATGGTGGAGAAGGAACTTCTGGAACTCCGGGTGAGAGGGGGGGAAAGAGGGCGGGAAAGAGCGGGGGGAAAGAGCGGGGGGAAAAGGTGGGGGGAAAGTTGGGGGGAAAGAGGGGGTGGAAGATGGGGGGGAGAGATGGGGGGGAGAGATGGGGGGGAAAGAGTGGGGGAACGATGGGGGGAAAGAGGGGGGAGACGGGGAAAGGTGGGGGGGGGGGGTGCGGGGGGGGAAGATGTGGGGAAGGGAGGAGAGGCGGAGAAGGGGGTGGAGATATAAAGAGAGAGGGTGAGCGGGAGGGGGAGGGAGAGAGGTCGTGAGAGAGAGCGAGAAGGAGAGACGAAGCGGCAGAGATGCACGTGCAGAGAGAGAAAGTGATGGAGCTTCCTGCTTTTCTCCCCATGCCCACTCCCCGTGTGTACACATGCCCGCCCCGTTGATATCCCCGTCAGTAACTATGCCCTTACCTGAATATGCCCCGCCCCGCACCCTATGCTGCCCCTGCCTATGCACCTAGCGCCCAGTCATCCCCCTCCACTCGCGTTACTCCCAGACGGCAGCGAGCCGGTTCATCCCCCAACGGGAGAGGAGAGCCACATGAAGGAACCTCCTTGAGGCGCCTCAAAATTCACCCGGAGAGCCACATGAAGGAGGACCCTTTCTTTCCTCTCTCACTCTCCTCCTGCTTGTGCTCGCTCTTCTTCCAGAGGGAGGTGGCGCGACGGCTACAGGCCGAGAATCTGCACCTGGAGAGCCAGATGAGTAAACCCCCTTCTCTTCCTCTTCTCCCCATTCCCACCGCGCCTCTGCCCTGACTCTCTCCTTGCTCCCAGCGAGAGGTGGCGCGGCTACAGGCGGAGAATCTGCACCTGGAGAGCCAAATGAAGGGAATTCGCTTATGCCCCCGGTCCTTCCTCCTTTCCTCCCTGCCTTCCCGGCCCGGCCCCTCTCGTTGTTTGCCCCCAGCGCGAGGTGGCGCGGCTACAGGCGGAGAATCTGCACCTGGAGAGCCAGATGAAGGAGCGGGCAGCATTTAGTGATGACACTGTGTCGCAGGAGGTGCGTGATTGGAAGGAGGGAGGGTTGGGGAGAGGGAAGAAAGAGATGGGGACAGGGGAGAGGGGGGAGGGGGAAGGGGAGAGAGATTGAGAGAGGGGAGAGCAAAGGTGGGAAAAGAAGAGAAGGAGAGAGTGGGATAGCAGTAGAGGAGACAGGGAGTTTTTTTTTATATGACAGCAGCTGACATGCGTCGATTCTGCAAAACACCCCTCGTGGGACGTGCCCAGATGATTGGCTGCTGCTGCTGCTGCTGCTGGTGCTGCTGTGGTGCTGCTGTGGTGCTGCTGTGGTGCTGCTGCTGGTGCTGCTGCTGTGCTGCTGCTGCTGGTGCTGCTGCTGTGGTGCTGCTGCTGGTGCTGCTGCTGCTGCTGCTGCTGCTGCTGCTGCTGCTGCTGTGGTGCTGCTGTGGTGCTGCTGCTGGTGCTGGTGCTGCTGTGGTGCTGCTGCTGGTGCTGCTGGTGCTGCTGGTGCTGCTGCTGGTGCTGCTGGTGCTGCTGCTGGTGCTGCTGGTGCTGCTGCTGGTGCTGCTGGTGCTGCTGGTGCTGCTGGTGCTGCTGGTGCTGCTGGTGCTGGTGCTGGTGCTGCTGGTGCTGGTGCTGGTGCTGCTGGTGCTGGTGCTGCAGCGGCTGTTGTTTGACAAGACCTGTCATGCCTAACACCCCCCTTCCACCAACTTTCCCCCTCCCCCTCTTCCATTTCCCACCTTTTCCCGCTTTCCCTCCTTCGACCAGGCTCTCCTAGCAGCAAAGCAAGCTCTGGCCCAGTACAATCCCCCTGCTGCTGCCGTATCATCCCCAGCCGCAACCGGGCCGCACGCCTATCGCTGTGCCGCCACAGCAGCAGACATGCGGCGATTCTTCAACTTCACCCCCCGCGGGCCGTGCCCGGACGACTGGCTGCTGGTGCTGGTGTTGTGCTGCAGCGGATGATGTTTGAAAAGGCCTGCCATCCCCTAACGCCCCCTTCCACCAACCTGCTGTTTCCCCCTTTCCCCCGTTTTCCTCCTTCCCCCCAGGCTCTCCTAGCAGCAAAGCAAGCTCTGGCCCAGTACAACCCCCCTGCTGCAGCCGCATCATCACCAGCAGCAACCGGGCCGCACGCATACCGATGCGCAGCGACAGCAGCAGACATGCGGCGCTTCTTCAGCTTCACCCCCCGCGGGCCGTGCCCAGACGACTGGCTGCTGGTGCAGCTGGTGCTGCTGCTGGTGCAGGGGATGTGTTTGACAAGGCCTGCCATCCCCTAACCCCCCCTTCCCTTCCACCAACCTGCTGTTTCCCCCTTTTCCCCCCGTTTCCCCTTTTCTTCCCCCTTCCCCCCAGGCTCTCCAAGCAGCAGAGAAAGCTCTATCTCAGTTTAACCCACCCGCCGCTGCAGCAGCTTCCCAAGCAGCAACCGGGCCGCACGCATACCGATGTGCCGCCACAGCAGCGGACATGCGGCGATTCTTCAACTTCACCCCGCGCGGGCCGTGCCCTGATGACTGGCTGCTGGTGCAGCGGCTGGTGTTTGACAAGGCGTGCCACGCGCTGCCACGGAGGCGATGCACTGCTGCGACGGTGGATGAGGCGAGAGAGGTGAGGGGGGGTGGAGAGGGGTTTGAGAATTCTCAAAGGTGACTCCAGTATGTGTCTGTTTGACAAGGCGTGTCACACGCTGCCAAAGAGGCGATGCACTGCTGCGACGGTGGATGAAGCAAGAGAGGTGAGGTTTGCTTGTAGAAGTCGTCTCGTTACAATGCCACACGGCGACTGGTACTATGCTGCTGCTGCTGGTGCAGCGGCTGGTGTTTGACAAGGCGTGCCACGCGCTGCCACGGAGGCGATGCACCGCTGCAACAGTGGATGCAGCGAGAGAGGTGAGGAGGGAGGGAGGGAGTGGGGGGTAAGGGGAGACATGGAGACTGGTACTGTGCTGCGGCTGGTGCAGAGGCTGGTAAGGCATGCCACGCGCTGCCAAGGAGACGATGCAATGCTGCTACGGTGGATGAAGCGAGAGAGGTGAGAGGGGAGGGGAGGAGAGGGGAGATGGGAGAGGGGGGAAGGGGGAGGGGGGAGGGGGGGGGGGGTGGGGGGAGGGGGGACGGGGGAGGGGGGAGGGGGGAGGAGGTAGGGGGGAGAGGGGAGAGGGGAGATGGGAGAGGGGAGATGCGAGAGGGGAGAGGGGAGAGGGGAGAGGGGAGAGGGGAGATGGGAGATGGGAGATGGGAGATGGGAGAGGGGAGAGGGGAGATGGGAGAGGGGAGATGGGAGAGGGGAGAGGGGAGAGGGGAGAGGGGAGAGGGGAGAGGGGAGAGACGTCGCAAGGCCTGCCACGCTGTGCCAAGGATGAAGCGAGGGGAGAGGGGGATTCGGGAGAGTGGATGGGCCGCAAAAACAAGCCCTTTCCCATCCCTCCACCCATCCATCCGTTTCATCCCTCCAGTCCCTCCCCTCCCTCCCCTCACTCCCATCCCCACCCTTGCAATCCCTCCACCCTCCCGTTTGCCCCCAGCCCATGCCACTCCCAGACGCGCTGTTCACCCAGAAGGCTCTGATGGATGGCAACGTGCGGTGGCAGCAGCACTGCTGCCAGACCCTTTCCTGCCCCTCCACCTATGCTTCCTTCCATCCCTCTTATGCCTCCCATCTGCCCAACAGCCCATGCCTGTCCCAGACGCCCTTTTCACCCAGAAGGCTCTGATGGGCAGCAACGTGCAGTGGCAGCAGCACCTCTGCCACTCCCTTTCCTCATCCTCCATCTAAGCTTCCCTCCATCCCTCCCATCCAGCCCATGCCGGTCCCAGAAGCGCTCTTCACCCAGAAGGCCCTGCAGGACGGCAACGTGCGGTGGCAGCAGCACCGCTGCCACTCCTTCTCCTGCCTCAACCGCCAGAGCGCCACGGACTGCCGCAACTGCTTCAACATGACGCATGAGGCGCACCGCTGGCAGTGGCCGTACAAGGGCTCCATTGCCATGCAAGACGTGATCGCCTTGAAGCCCAAGTCGCTCAGGTGGGGACCGGAGAAGAGAGTTTGGTTGCCTCTGTTGTGCTGTGTTGAGGCGTCTCGAATCTCGCATGAGGCGCACCGCTGGCAGCGGCCATACAAAGGCTCCATCGCCATGCAAGACGTGATCGCCTTGAAGCCCAAGTCGCTCAGGTAGGGACCTCTTCTTGGGGCGTCTCAAAGCTTGCATGAGGCGCACAGGTGGCAGCTCGCCTACAAGGGCTCCATTGCCATGCAAGACGTCATCGCCATGAAGCCCAAGTCGCTCAGGTAGGTGTGAGTGTCTGAACACTGGTGTCTCAGCCTGTCGCAACTGCTGACAAGGAGCACCGCTGGCAGCGGCCATACAAGGGCTCTATCGCCATGCAAGACGTGATTGCCATGAAGCCCAAGTCGCTCAGGTGGGCACCTCTTGAGTCGACTTGAAAACGGTCCTGCCTGTTGTGGTTCTGTTGTGCTGTTTTGAGACGTGTCAAAGCTTGCATGAGGTGCACCGCTGGCAGCGCGCCTACAAGGGCTCCATCGTTATGAAGCCCAAGTCCCTCAGTGGGATGCAGGAGAACCAAGCTTGGGATGCTTTTTCCTTTTCTTCTGCTCTGTTCTGGTTTTTTTTCTGTACCTTTTTGTTTCCGTCCATTAGTTTGTTGGCTTCCACGAATCTTCGGATGAGCTTGTTGGTTTCGTTTTTTCCTCCTCCCTTTTCTCCTACTTATATTCTCAGAGTAACTCAAGGGAGTAAGGTACGTGGGTGGGAGCATCCAAAACCTTGTCTTTCAACACAGCCTTTTCCTCGTGCAATCTTCTCACTGGTTTTCAAACCGTGCAGAATAGGGCTGGACGTAGGAGGCGGGAGCGGCACCTTTGCAGCGCACATGGCACGGTACGGTGTGACAATCATGACCACAGGCCTCAACAGAGAGGCAGCCGCTGCTCTAAAACACAAATCAGGACAACAACAGCAACAGCAACAACAACAGCAACAACTAGCAGAAGATGAAGCAGCAGCACCAGGTCTCCCTTACATGGAAACTATAGCAGCTCGCGGTCTAATCCCGCTCCACCTCCCTCATCAGGCACGATTACCCTTCTTCGACGGGACTCTCGACATAATACACAGCATCAACAGTATCAAATACATGCCGCCGTTGGAGTTCGAAGAAATGCTCTTCGAGTGGGACCGGGTGCTCCGTCCGGGCGGGCTGCTATGGTTCGAGATGTTCTACGCTCCGAAAGACGAGATGGCGGTTTACGTGTGGGTGCTGCAGGTATTGCGGTACGAGAAGCGGTATTGGAATCTCATGCCGAAGACGGATAGGACGGAGAGGAAAGGCCCGCATGTGTATCTGAACTGCGTGCTCGAGAAACCAGCAAGGGGCAGCCAAGGGATGGATGTAGTGCCTCCGGTATCATAGGTGCTGCAGTTGTTGCGGTTCCAGAAGCGGTATTGGAACCTCATGCCTAAGCTGGATAGGACGGAGCGCAAGGGCCCGCATGTGTATCTGAATTGTGTGCTGGAGAAACCAGCTAGGGGCAGCCAAGGGATGGATGCGGTGCTGCCGGTACCATAGGTGCTGCAGTTGTTGGCTACGAGAAGCGGTATTGGAACTTCATGCCCAAGATGGATAGGAGGGAGCGCAAGGACCCGCATGTGTATTTGAATTGCGTGCTGGAGAAACCAGCTAGGGGCAACCAGTGGACCCGGTTCCGTAGGTGATTTCATGGCCTCACACTTGCTTGTTGGTTCATTGGTTGGGTTGGGTTCTGGTTGGATGGTTGGGTGGTTGGTTGTGAGTCTGCCGCTGTCGGCTTCCAGCAGAATGGGTCTACAAGGAGGTGCGCCCAAGGGCTTGATGCAGCGCAGCAGCTTGCTTCGTTCGCATAATGCAACTTGCTTTCTAACTTACCCATAGCAGTCTGGTTGGTTCGGTTCGAATAGGAGGTGCCTTGATTTGCAGTGGTCTGTGCGATGTGGTTTGATTGTTGGGCTGAGAACAAGCCCTTAGGATCTTTGCAGGACTAAACTCTGGGTAGGAACAATGTAATAGCGGAAGCGTTTAATGATGAGTCTATGAACCACCTTGCGCTGGTATGTGAGGGCAAAGTAGATTGATTAATCAAAGAGATACAATGCTTTTATAAGAGTACAAGGAATATGAAAAGATGCAACTAATAACTGTTTTACTGTTTGCTGTTGCGGTTCGATACAGAGACGACTCGGGCAACTGCTCGATAACGAGTCAGTTGTTTGTCCTTGCTGTCGCGCTGTACTTGTCAGGTCAAAGGTCGCTGACCTTTGACTTTCGCGTAACCTCCAGCAGTTGCTCAACCTCCGAGGGTTGACTCGCTGATGCTTCGCTGTGTTTCGCTTCGTTTATGACTTAGTGTTTCGACGCGACAGAGGCGCTTAAATCACTTGTTTCCAACACTCCCCTTCGCTTCTGGAGTGTCGCTGCTGGTGACGTGGCTCTGTCCAGTCAGCAGCATGCAGTACTCGAACTTCTGCTTCCCGAGCTTCTTGGTCAAGTAATCAGCTGCCATCTCAGACGTGGGGCAGTAGGACAGCTCGAGTCTGCCCTTCTCGATCTCGTCTTTTACGAAGAAATATCGCAGGGCGATGTGCTTCGTCCTGTTCGCGAATCCATTTTTGTTGGCTATGCGAATTGCTGACTGGTTTCGCAGAACAGGGAGAAGCTGGGTAACTGAGCCAGCTTTGCTTCCTCCAGGAGTTCGCGAAGGTACAGTCCTTCCTTGGTGGCTGAGCAGAGTGCGATATATTCTGCTTCAGCTGAGGAGAGGGCGATTAACTCCTGCTTGCTCGACTGCCAGGAGATTGTCAAAGTATATGCATGTTATATATGTGTAGGCTGTAGTGGGGTAGCCAATATGGGGTACAGCCCCTTTTAGGGTTTCATACTTGTACCCAACTCTTTCATAGTTCATTCATTCCTGTCTCTAGATTCTGACATGGTTTCAGAGCAGTAGGTCCGTAGGACCGTTTTTTTTTTTTCGGGCCCACCTACCGCTACCCCACGACTGTGACTGTGACTGTGCCTGTGACGTGCTGCGCTGCGCGCGCCGTCTGCCTGCTGCCTACTGTCTGCTGACTGCGCGGTCTGCTGCTGCTTAGAGCGCGCAGACCTTATTCCTGCGCGCGGCTCGACTTTTGCCCCACGCGTCGCCCACCCTGCCCGAGTCGCGCCTCGGCAGCCCGCGCGCGGCTCGCTGCTGCTCCGCGCGCCGCGTCTGCATCCCGCGCGGCGCGTTGCAGCCCCGCGCGTCGCGACCGCTGCCCGCGCGTCGCGCTGCAGCCCTGCGCGCCGCGACAGCTGCCCGCGCGTCGCGCTGCAGCCCCGCGCGCCGCGACCCACCTGCCTCTGACGCGGCCGCGCCCTGCCTCTGACCCGGCCGCGCCCTGTCGCCGACGAGGCCCCGCCCGGACGCTGACGCGGCCCCGCCAGCCCTGTATCTGACGCGGCCCCGACCTGCCGCTGACGCGGCCCCGCCCTGCAGCTGCCGCGGCCCCGACCTGCCACTGACGCGGCCCCGCCCTGCAGCTGCCGCGGCCCTACTCTGCAGCCGCTGCTGCGGCCTTGCCGTCGCCGCCGTCGTGCGCCTACCCTGCCGCCGCCCGCCGAGCGCCGGCCCTGCCCGCCACTGGTGAGCACCTGCCTTGTTCGCGCACTGCCGCGCCCTCTGCCTGCCTGTCTACCTGCCTGCCTGCCTGCCGCCCCTGCCGCGCCTGCCCTGCCCGAGCTGCTGCTGCTACTATTGCTACTGTTGCTACTGGCGGTGGCCAGATGCAGCTCCAGCAACGTCCGCGCGAGTCTCTCACGCCTCAGCAGCTTCGTGAGTGGTACGCTAGTTGGGGTTGTGGCGGTAGCCGTCGTGGCTGTCGCCCTGGAGCTGGTCGGTCGGGAGCGTCTGGCAGTGGCCAGCTGCAGCTGCAGCGGCGTCCGCATGAGACACTTACGTCCCGGCAGCTTCACGAGTGGTACGCTCAGAGTCGAGGGTCTCGGAGTACCGTTCGCTGCCCGTACGTCCTTCGCACAGGTGCTCGGGCTGGTCAGGCTTGCGGGACACTTGGTCACACCCAGTCCCCTGCTTCGCCCGTCTGAGCGACGCCTGGCGTACCGAGTTTGGCGACGAGGCTGAGCTCCCCACCTGGCTGGAGCTGCTTGGGCAGAGGGTAGATATCTTTGCTCTTGACTATGTTGCTATTCTCACTGCCATGTATGCATTGCCTACTAGTGATGACCGTGCCTGTTCCCTGTGCGTAACGCCTGACCCAGGTATAGAGCCTGCTGCCCTAGGTGCTGGTGAGGCTGCTGCTCTAGGTGCTAGTGCGTCTCCTGCGCTAGGTGCTGGTGAGGCTTCTGCTCTAGGTGCTGGTGCGTCTCCTGCGCTAGGTGCTGGTGAGGCTGCTGCTCCAGGTACTGGTGAGTCTGCTCTCTCTGGTACTGCGCCTGCTGAGGCCTTGTACACCTTCACACTTGACTCAGGTGCTTCCCGCTCCTTCTTTCGCGACAGCACCACCCTCACGCCGCTTCGTCCGCCGGTTGCAGTCTCCCTGGCAGACCCCTCTGGGGGTCCAGTCCTTGCGCACTCCTCCACGGTCCTGCCGTGTCCGGCGGTCCCGTCTGGCTCCCTGTCAGGTCTTCACCTCCCCTCGTTCTCTACGAACTTGGTGAGTGGAGCTGCCAGGTGAAACTAGGCAAGGAACGGCCGGAGCACGGAGCGAGAACAACTAGGAGCGCCAGGCGAAACTAGGACTAGGAGTAGCGGCCTCCAGCCGCGGCGGAACGGTGAACCCAGTGAAGGAACAGTAGGGAACGGGAAAACCGACGGTTAGAAAGCCCGAGAACGGCCTGCTACGGGCCGTGGCGCGCTAGAGGTGCCAGCCGATGCAAGAGGTGCCAGTGGGCGGCTAGAAGGAGGTGGGGGCGGCTAGGAGGAGGTGTGGGCGGCTAGGAGGAGGTGTGGGCGGCTAGGAGGAGGTGTGGGCGGCTAGGAGGAGGTGTGGACGGCTAGGAGAAGGTGTGGGCGGCTAGGAGGAGGTGTGGGCGGTTAGGAGGAGGTGTGAGGCGCGTTTCTGGCTGGGGCGCGCATGTCTGGGAAGGGGCGCGGGTTCCTGGCTGGGGTGCGCGTTCCTGGGCAGGGGCGCGCGCTGCTATGCCCGGGTGGCGCGCGCTGCCCTGCAAGTTGGCGCGCGCTGCACTGCAGGGGCGCGCGTTGCTCTGCACGGGCGACGCGACGGGCTGAGGCAAGGTACACGGGTGACGCGACGGGCTGGGGCAGGGCGCACGGGCTATGCGACGGGCTAGGGCAGGGCGCACGGGCGACGCGACGGGCTGGGGCAGGGCGCACAGGCTATGCGACGGGCTGGGGCAGGGCACGGGCTACGCGACGGGCTAGGGCAGGGCGCACGGGCGACGGGACGGGCTGGGGCAGGGGCCACGGGCGACGCGACGGGCTGGGACAGGGCGCATGGGCTATGCGAGGGGCTAGGGCAGGGCGTACGGGCTCTAGGGTCGCGCGGAAACGGGCTAGGAGGGAGGGCGGAACCTAGGGCGTGAGGCGCCACGGACGGAGCGAGCTAGGCTAGGCGAGGCGAGGGAGCGAATCTACGGAGCGACTACGGAGCGACGGCGGCGCGACTACGGAGCGACGGAGCGGCCTTAGGCTAGGCTAGGTTAGGAGTGTACCTACTCATGATACCATCTTAGAAGTAGAAGCAACGGAATGTTTGCATTAGGGTTGAGAAGCAAACAAGTAGCAACCCTAACTGAGTTATACCCTCTAGAGAGTACCTCACTGCAACCTAAAACAATTATACGCATTTGACATACACTTACTAATTATTCATGTAGTTATAAAAAGGTCGACGTAGTGATCCTAAGGTTTCTCGATGTGAGAAAATTGAATTGATTACTATAATGGAATGCACGATTACATATAGGGTACCTAACATTTAGGTTATCCTACCAAAGTATACACCTATAAATGACAAACTTTGGCTATACCGTATGTTATGCTATTCAAACTCCGTTTTCTATGAAAGCTACGGCGTAGCCAAGAAGTTTGATGGTTGCTCACGGAGTAAGATCAATAAAGACTGAAAACCCAGGGAATAGTCACGGAATCCAAGTATACTGCAATATACAAATTTATACCGTATGCTTTACACAAAATGTACACATGCCGAAATCATTTCCAGAACTACTCTTTATGCGGCAGCAGAGGAAGTCTTGTACTGCTGCTCCTGCCAGGTCGGACCTGCTCCAGTCCCAAGAACCCTAGCGGTACCCTCATAAGCAGAGTGCGTGACATGGCTCACTTTGTCCCCCACATACTCCGTTGCGCCTTTCACGCCGCCTGCCACGTAATCCAGGGACTCAGCCCCAATGGGCTTCTTGCCGCGCATGTAGTTGATGAACCACACGAGCGATCCAACTCCCATGGCCGTCAACGTCGTCATAAAGAGTGCTCCGCCTGAAGCCACAGCAAATGTTGAGAACCAGAGTCAGAAAGTAACAAGTCAATACCATGGGTAGGTTCTCAGCCATGACCTCGAGAGCATTATTTTTCTACTGTTATGTGAACAGAATTGAAGCTCGGAGCTACTGTGGATTAACGAGGACCAGAAGCCCAGTATCAAGAAGAGTAAGCCGGAATGTCAATCCGTCCATTTGATTCTTTTACCTCCAACGACGGTGCCGAAGATGGCGAGCGGGACGAGGATCGGGGAAAAGAGCAGCAGGAGCGGCGATATGAGGAGGAGAAAACCGCCTCCTCCGATAACTGTAGTGGCAGTTACAACCGTCGCGATGGTACCCGCGATGCCAAGGGTACCCAGCAGGAAGAGAATATCCCTGGAGAAGGACGAGAAGAGGAAGAAGATTCGTGCAAAAAAGCAAAGTTACGATCACGATTAGGCGATTTAACGTATCTCGTAGTAGACCCAGCGCTGAAAGACTGTGTGCAATTTGAATCCGCAAAAGCACCGCTACAACGACCAGCGAAGGCAATGGAGTCAAAGTGAAGGCTAAGATGACAACCTGGTCCGGTACCCCTGCTGACTCGGCAGCATGTGCTTCCCCTCGCCGCGACCGCCGCCGTACATGGTTGTAACAGCCAGATTAATGAGCAACAGGTAATGGATGCGAGAACGCCGGCAACGGAGGTGAGAACAGAATACACTGGCTGAACTATGCAAGGAAGCAGGAAGCGAGAAGAATCGGATGAAGACTTGACGGTTGCTGGCTCGTTTTTGTATCAGGGAATGGACTAGGAGTTATCGACGCGTTCGCGTCCGTCGACTGCGAGGAGACCGCAATCGACGACAAGGCCAACACGCAAACGGAGGGGGGTTCGAGAAGCATTGGGGAGTGCGATTGAGGGAATTGGAGCACCTGGAGTAGGCAGCTAGTTGGCGAAATGAGAATGCGCGGCGCGACAAGCTGGATCGTCCAAATGTTCGCTGGCGAGGGAGCTTGGCGAGGCATGGCGGTCTGCGTGTGAGCAAGAATAAGGGTTGGTGGTTCTCTGCCATCGTGCTTATCCGCCACGTGCGAGCTTCTTAGTAGTTGGATTTGTAACAGTTGACGCCTTTCTCTCCTGAATAATCAAGCATGTTCGTGTAAACATTTTTACAATGAGACTTTCTTTCCTCTAAAAAGCTGTATATCTGATGTGGCATTATCCTCTCACTGAGTGTAAGCATAACGAATGCAGAAGTTCCCAAGATGGTGCGCGCAGGAGTTCCCAAGAGGCCGCATTCTTCGTCAGCCAAGACTACGTCACCCAGGCTTATCGCGCAGTATCTCGCAGGAACGGGTTGGAACTGACCAAAACGCACAGAACATGCTTCCAGTCAGTTTTCCTGCTGTCTCCTGCAACCAACAATCACCCTTGATTCCACCCACTACCACACCTCTCCCTCTCACCAAGTCACCCACCTCCAATGCAAATTTCACCTGCTGGTACAACTGCCATAGTTCCTAGAGAGTAAGAACAGATAAACTGTCGTGACTTAGTGGACATAGTTGTTCTTGCAAGATGACACGGAGGTTACCACCTCTCGTCATGAGCTGGCGAGCGTCGTTGCTCAGGGGCTCGTAACGACTCCTGAGTGACTTCCCTTGCGTCATTGCCGCTGCAGCCATTGCTGCTTCCGTCACTTACCAAATGCAGAAACGTATTCTCCTAGGTCGGAAGGGACTTTAGTTACTGTTGTCTTCCTTTTCACGGCGATTTCTGAATATCCTTAAAAGGCGTCTCGTAAGTTGCATTAGGTACTATTTGGCTTCGTCCTTTCCACCCACTAAGGCTACAAAACCAAGGCTTTTCTTTCACCGACCCTATACATAGTCGTCCGCTCTCTTAGTTCCAACGAGTGTTCCATTTCTCAAATATCGCACAATTCCGCCGTCATTTTTCTTACACCTTAACGGTCCAGCCACTTTCAGCAATTCGCCATGGATGAGTTATTCTCAAAAGCCATAGACGCACTCGATTCGTCTCTTAACGAGTTCCCCTCTTCCAGCGCCGATGCCGCCGCAGCCGCCGCCGCAGTTGGCGGCACGTCCGCCGCCGCCGCTTCCGCCACCGCGTCGCTCCTCCAAGACATGGAAGCGTTCCAAGACGCAACCCTCCCTCCCTCCGCAATCGACGCCGCGAAACGCGTTCTCGCGGCGTGGGAGGAAATCGATATGGAAGGGAAGAAATCCGGGTGGGACGCGTTAGGGTTGACGATCTCGCAGTTCCAGGAGACAAGTTCGAAGAACCGACGGTCTCTCGCGGAGCAGACGAAGGCGTTCAAGAGCAGCGGCGGGGAGAAGAAGGACTTTGCTCCTTTGCTCAAGGCTTACCAGGTGAGAGAGAGAGAGAAAGCGAGAGGCGTTAGGGTTGACGATCTTGGTTCGAAGAACCGGCGGTCGCTCGCGGAGCAGACGAAGGCGTTCAAGAGCAGCGGCGGGGAGAAGAAGGACTTTGCACCGCTGCTCAAGGCTTACCAGGTGAGAGAGAGAGAGAGAAAGCGAGAGGCGTTAGGGTTGACGATCTTGGTTCGAAGAACCGGCGGTCGCTCGCAGGTGAGAGAGAGAGAGAAAGCGAGAGGCGTTAGGGTTGACGATCTTGCAGTTCCAGGAGACAAGTTCGAAGAACCGACGGTCTCTCGCGGAGCAGACGAAAACGTTCAAGAGCAGCGGCGGGGAGAAGAAGGACTTTGCACCACTGCTCAAGGCTTACCAGGTGACGGAGAGAAGGCGAGACGAATGGTGTCTGTGTGTTTTGAGTCGATGTTTGCGCGAACGTTAGCAGCGCCCAATATCAAACGGTCTTTCACCTCTTAGGGTTGCAACTTTGACTGTGCAAAGTGTCAATGAAAGTTATTGTGAAACAATTCGCCGTGAGGTCTCGCAATCTAAAAAAGGACACCTTTTTCTATCTTACTCTTCCACCACCACTTTCCTCCCCCCTTTCCCTCCCAACCCCTTTCCCCACCACCCCCCACCCCCTCCCTTCCCCATCTCCCTCCCCTCCCCGCTCCTCCCACCACCCACCCTCCGCCTCCCCCGCCTTCCCCTTCCCCACATGTGCGCGCGCGCAGGCGGAGATCGACTCGATCACGAAGCGCGCGAAGCACGCGGAGAGCGCGTACCTGGGCGTGTACCAGGCGCTCTACGACGCGCCCGACGTGCTGCCGCTGCTGCGCTCCTTCGTGCCCGTCGCGGCGCGCGTGGCCGGCGCGGAGCAGGAGGCGCGGCGACTGCGGCAGGAGATGGAGGTGATTTGGATAAAGGGGGAGGGGAAGGGGGGGGTTGAGAGGGAAAGGGGGAGAGGGGGAAAAGAGTGGAGGGGAGGGGAAGCGGGGAAGGGGGGACTGGGGAAGAGGGGAGAAAGTGGGGGAGAGGGGGAAAAGGGAAAGGGGGAAGGGGGGAAGGGGGGAAACGGGGATGGGATGTGGGGAAGAAAAACGGGGCGGGCTGGATGCAAGCTGTTAGGACGTGATTTTTCCTTGTCACGTTCTTGCTCGAGTATTTGCAGACCGCACTTGACAGTTGTTATTTTCCCTCCTTCTCACTGACTCCTCTTATCTCCTCTCCACTCCTCTCCTCTGCACTCCTCTCCTCTCCACTCCTCTCCTCTGCGCTCCTCTCCTCTCCACTCCTCTCCTCTGCGCTCCTCTCCTCTCCACTCCTCTCATTTCCACTCCTCTCCTCTCAACTCCTCTCCTGTGCATGCCAACTCACCTTCAACGGATCGTACGCGCTGCATTCTACATGCCGTTTGGACTCTTGTCTCCTCCCCCCCCCCCCCCCCCTCTCCACCCACCCCCTCTTTGCCGCATTCTCCTTTCCTCTCTCCCTCTCCGTCCCCCTTTCCCTCCTCTCGCTGTTCCATTTCCCCTCACCGTCGTGGCCTTTCAGTCTTGAAGCATCAGTCTCTAAATTCTGTCCTCTCTCCCATTCCATCCCTCCCTCCCTCGCCACCTCATGCCCCCTCCTCGCCTCATCGTGTCTTCTGAGTCGAATTGATTACTCTCTCTTCGTTCTTACCTCCTTTCCCCCCTCCCTTTCTCCATCCCTTTCCCCCTCCCTTTCCCCTTCCCCCTCCCTTTCCCCTTCCTTTCCCCCTCCCTTTCCCCTCCCTTTCCCTTTTCCTTCCCCCTTCCTTTTCCCTTCCCCTTCCCCGTCCCTTCCCACCTCCCTTTCCGCCCCCCTACCCCCCATCCCGCGCCCCCACGGCAGATCGTGCGTGCAGATGCAGCAGCAGGCAAGGCGCTGCAGGCGTCACTGCATCGCCTGCAGGAGCGCAACACAGAGCTGGTGCGGCCAGACCACCTGTGATCTGAAGTGTGTCTGTGTGTGTGTGTGTCGTGGGGGCATGAGTGTGATGTTTGTTGTGGGCGTGCACATGTGCGTGCTGTCGTGTGAGACGTGTGAGGCGAGTGCGGTGGCGCATGTGAATGTGCATGAGTGTGCATGGTAGTGGACGTTCTTGGCTAGGCGTGTGTGGGACTGCAGATGTCATTTCTTCGGTTCTTCTTTCCCCTGCTTTCCCCTTCCGAAGCGACTGTACTTTGTCTGCCTCCACCACACCCTCCATCCCTCCCTCCTCCGCTCCTTCCCTCCCTCCTCCCTCCTCCCTCCCTCCCTCCCTCCCTCCCTCCCTCCCTCCCTCCCTCCCTCCCTCCCTCCCTCCCTCCCTCCCTCCCTCCCTCCCTCCCTCCCTCCCTCCCTCCCTCCCTCCCTCCCTCCCTCCCTCCCTCCCTCTCTCCCTCCCTCCCTCCCTCCCTCCCTCCCTCCCTCCCTCCCTCCCTCCCTCCCTCCCTCCCTCCCTCCCCTCTCCCTTGCGTTGTCTGGTGCGCTGCTGTGTGCTGCGCTTTGCTCTGCTCTGCCGTGTGGTGCCATGCGGTGCTGTGCGCGCCAGGAGGAGCGTCTGACAGAGAAGGTGCGGGAGGCGCTGGAGGAGAGGGCGGGGGAGATGGATGCGCGCATGCACGTCTTCCGCCAGCGCGAGGCGGACCTAGAGGCGCGCATCCGCGAGGGGATGGAGAACCTGGCCGCCATGCAGGTGGGCAGGCGGGGGGAAGGGGGAAAAGGGGGCAGGGGGGCAAGGGGGGGAAGAGGGTAAGGGGAATGGGACAGGGAGCGGGGTTGGGGAAGGCCGCAGGGGGATGGGACAGGGGGAGGGAGAAGGATACGAGACGGGAGGAGGGAGGGGGCAGGACGCGGGGAGGGGCAGGGCGAGGGGGAAAGGGCAGGGAGTGGGGGAGGGGCAGGGAGAGGGGGAGAGGGAGGGGGAGTGCAGGAGGGAAGGGCAATACTGGTTGGAACAGTTGGAGGAGAGGAATATTTCAAGAACATCTTGAAACTAGAGAATATTCCTTCGCTCCCTACTGCACAGGTGAGTGGTCTTTTGCCCTTCTGCGTATATTCAATTGACTCAGAATGCTTTGTGCCCGGCTGTTTAAGGCGAATGCGCGCATGGAGTAGGAGCGGGCAAGCAAGCAAGTTCTGAGACGTCTCAACAACTCCCTCCCTCCACCCCTTCCCACCTCCCCCCTCCCCCCCGCCCCCTTCTCCCGTCCTCCACACTCCTCTCCCCGCGGCAACTCCCCCAGAGGGCGAACGAGGCGATGCAGGGCGTGGTGTTTGAGGCGAATGCGCGCATGGAGGAGGAGAGGGCGAGCAAGCAGCACGAGATTGACGGGCTCATGGAGGAGCTCGAACGCAGCCAGGTGCGGTGGGGTGCGGTTGGATGCGGTGGGGACCGGTGGGGTGCAGTGGGGTATGGCGGGATGAGATAAAGAAGGGCGACGTTTGAGAGGAGGCTGAGCTGAATCAGGGGCAACGGAGAGGAGAGGATGGTTGGTGGGGTGCAGTGGGATGCGGTGGGATGAGAGGAGATGGGGAACAGATGATAAGGTGGGGGAGGGTAGTGTAATTGGATTACCAAGGAGTGGGATATACCTCGTCTCCCTTTGCCCCTCCCATTTTGCCCTACCCCCTTTGCCCTTCCCCCTTCCCTCCTTTTCCCATTTGCCCGTCCCCCTTTGCCCGTCCCCCTTTGCCCTTCCCCCTTTGCTCTTCCCCTTTTGCCCTTCCTCCTTTGCCCTTCCCTCTTTGCTCCTCAAGCCTTTTTCCCCATTCACCCTTTTCCTTTGCCCTTCTCCCTTCCTCCTTCCCTGTTTTCCCTTTTGCCCTCCTCCCTTCTCCCGTTTCCCCTGCTGTCCTGTCCATATCCAATCGTTCCTCTTCTCTTCCCTCTCACCGCCCCTCGCTCTCACCGCCCCTCGCTCTCACCCCTGCTACCACACCAGGCCCGTGTGAGCATGCTGGAGCAGCGTCTCTCTGCCGCCACCGCTGCTGTCATTCCCACTCTCCATACGTCCATATCCAACCCTGTCTCTCCTCTTTCCACACACCCCCACCCCCATCCCCACCCCCACCCCCACTCCCTACCCCCACTCCGTACCCCTATTGCCCGCTCTCACCTCACCCCTGTTACCCAGGCTCGTGTGAACATGCTGGACCAGCGTCTCTCTGCTGCCACCGCTGCTGCTGCTGCTTCACCCCGTCTTCGCCCTGCTTCTGCCACTCCCGCTGCTGCCGCTGCTGCTGCTGCTGGTGAAAGCTTACCCGGGGAAGAAAACACTGCTTCAGCTACAGGAGAATCAACCACTGCAGGGAAGGAGGGGGGTGCTAAGTCTCCTGCAATTCTCTCAGCATCAGCATCGGCTTCAGATGCTGTGTCTGTGTCTGTTCTAGAGGAGCCTGAGGAGGCTAAGGAGAGGCTTGTGTCTCGCCTGCACATGCAGCTGCAGCAGATGCAAGAGACGCTGCAGGTAATTCTACGGCTGACTTGACTTCGTTTTTTTTAATTCTAAAAAAACACAACTGCTGAATGACACCTTGTAAAAGCAAATCGTCCCCTCATCCCAGTTCTCCCTTCCAAACACTTCTCACTCCCCCCTTCCCCCACCCCCCCCCCCCCACCCTCCACCCCCTCACCCCACCTCTCCTCCCTCCCCTCCTCTCTCTCCTCCCTCTTTTCCAAAACTATAAGAACCTGGTTCATGACACCTTACGAACCATTTTCTTGCTTCATCCCCCGTCCGCCACCGCACCAGAACGAGAGGGAGGAGTGAGTGGGAGGGTGCGTTGCAACAGGCGCAGCAGCAGGTGGCGGCCGGAGTGACTTGTAAGTCGACTCGAAAGTTACTATCCTCCTATATTCCGCGTGTTATCCCTCGACTGCCACCACCCCAGCGCGAGAGGGAGGAGTGGGAGGGCGCGTTGCAGCAGGCGCAGCAGCAGGTGGCGGAGAGGGAGGCGCAGGTGCAGCAGGCACAGGCGGAGCTGCAGGCAAGGGCTTCCCCCGCGCAGGTGGAGGAGCTGAGGCAGCAGATCCGCGTGCTGCAGGTGAGACAGGGGGGGAGGAATGGGGGAGGGTGGAATGTGGGGGTGGATTGGGGTTGGGAGTAACTGGGGCAGGAGGAAGGGTGGTTGATGCACACAGGATAGGTGGGACCGTGGGGGTGTGGGGTCAAGGGAAGGCCCGCAGGTGGAGGAGCTGAGACAGCAGGTCCGTGTGCTGCAGGTGGGGGGGGGGGGGGAGTGAGGGGAGCGGGGGGTAATGGGGGGAAAGGGGGAAAGAGGGGGGAGGTGGGGCCAAGGGAAGGGGACGCAGGTGGAGGAGCTGAAGCAGCAGGTCCGCGTGCTGCAGGTGGGGGGGGAGGGAATAAGGGAGGGAATAAGGGAGGGAATTGGGGGAGAGGGAGGGATGGACGAGAAGGGGTTGGGCAAAGGGGAAGGCTGGGATCAATTGCCTTACCCCATCTTTCCCTCCTTCACCTTTCTTTGCTCCTCTCCTCTGTCCCTGTTGACTTCTTTGCTCCCTCCCTCCCTTTGATTCGCTGGGCTCCTCTCATCTATCTAACCCTTTGCTTCCCATCCCTTCGCTTTCATTCCCTTTCCTTGACCCTTTGCTCCTCTCCTGTAACCCTCGGTTTTCTTTCCCCCGTCCTTTCTCTTCCCCTCTACCATTCCCCTTTCCCCCTTCACTTCCATTCCTCCTTCACTCCCCAACCCACTTCGCTTGCACTCCCGCCTCTCAATCTACTACCCGTGCCGAAGTGACTTTTGAGTCTACTCAAAAGACAACTCCCTATCCCACTTCGATTGCACTCTTGCCTCTCTACTGCCCGTGTTTCCAGGCTCTAGCAGGTACAGAGGTGGATGATATCAAACGGTGCAGAGCTCTCCTCCTCCTTTTGAGGCACCTCAAAAGCCCCTCCCCTCACGTTGCTTCCATTCCCGCCTCTCTTCTACCCGTGTTTCCAGGCACTAGCAGGTGCGGAAGTGGATGATGAAAAACGCCATGTAATGAGCCGATTTTTTAGTCGACTAAGAAATTCCCGCCTCTCTACCACCCGTGTTTCCAGGCACTAGCAGGTGCCGAAGTGGATGATATCGACGGTGCAGATCTCTCCTCCTCCCTCTCCTCCTCCTCCACTGCAGCCAACGCACTCCCAGCAGCAGCAGGGGGCGGAGGTGAAGCCGGAGCAGGAGCAGGAGGGCTGGAAAGAGAGCAAGGAGGCAAGGGGGGGGAGGAAGGAGGAGCAGGAGGGGGAGCAGCAGCAGGAGCAGGAGCAGCAGGAGGGGTTTTACTCACAGAGGAGCAGCGAATCCAAGCAGCACTGCGGGAGAGCAACCGCCGGCTAATGGCAGAGCTCACAGCAACGCGCATCTCCCTCTCAGAGAGCCGGCTGGAAGCCGAGGAGAAAGCAGCACGCGTGGTGGCCCTAGAGGAGGAATGCAGCGAGCTGCGTGCGCTCGTGCAACGGCTAGAAGAGGACATTGTTGCTGGGAGCGGGTCGATTAGAGAGATTCTCGGGCAGTCTGGGGTGGGCGGGCAGGGGAAGAAGGGAGGGTTTCTGGGCGGAGGGGCAGGAGGGGCTGAAGGGACTGCTGCAACAATGGCTTCTCTGCTTGGGGGTGGGGGAGATGGAGGAGGGGGAGGAGAGGGGGGAGGGGGAGGAGGAGGAGAGGGGGGGCGAGGGGCGGCGGGGAGCGAGGGAGCGGGTGGCGGGGGAGGGAGAGGGGCGGCGGGAGCGGCAGGGGAGGAGGGGCAGCGGGATATGCTGCTGATAGTGTGCGATCAGAGGGAGCGGTTCCGCAAGCGAGTGCAGGAGCTGGAGGAGCAGACGGGCGCCCTGCAAGAGCAGCTCAGTGAGTGACGATAGGGAAGGCTTGGGGAAGGGTGGGAGAGAATTGAGGAGGGGGGGGGAAGCTTGGGCGGGTGGAAGAGCCTTTGAGGGGTGTGGAGGGGGTTGGGTTTGATATGGGTTATGGTTTAGGGAAGGTGGTAAGTGCCAGGGGCGGCAGGGGAGGAGGGGCAGCGGCGGGACATGCTGTTGATAGTGTGCGATCAGAGGGAGCGGTTCCGCAAGCGAGTGCAGGAGCTGGAGGAGCAGACGGGCGCCCTGCAAGAGCAGCTCAGTGAGTGACGATTTTGAAGGCTTGGGGAAGGGTGGGAGAGGATTGGGGTGGGGGGGGAAGCTTGGGCGGGTGGAAGAGCATTTGAGGGGTGTGGAGGGGGTTGGGTTTGATATGGGTTATGGTTTAGGGAAGGTGGTAAGTGCCAGGGGCGGCAGGGGAGGAGGGGCAGCGGGGCATTCTGCTGATAGTGTGCGATCAGAGGGAGCGGTTCCGCAAGCGAGTGCAGGAGCTGGAGGAGCAGACGGGCTCCCTGCAAGAGCAGCTCAGTGAGTGTTTGGTTAGGGGGGTGGGAGGATGGGGAGGTAGGGGGGAGGATGGGGAAGCGTGGGGGAGGATTAGGCGGGCTGGTGGGCCGTGGACGGACGGGGGAGCCTTGGGGGGGATGGGGATGGGGGAGGATTAGGGTTATGGTCAAAGACGGAGGTAAGTGCACGCAGGAATGCGGGACGTGCTGAGGATGGGGAAGGGAGGGGAGGATTGGGCGGGTGGGGGAATGGGAGGGGGAGAATTAGCGTTATGGTCAAGGAGTTGTGCAAGCTCTCCCCCGATTCTCCTCTTGCCTTCACCATCCCTCCTTCCCGCCCCCCCCTCTGCCCTTTTCCCTTCTCCCCACCTCTCTCTGCCTCTCCTTCCGCCCCTGTCTTCCTCTCACTCACTCCCTCGTTATTTCTCGCTCTTTACCTACTCTCCTCCCTTCCCCCCCCTTCCCACCCGCCAGACCGTGCGAATCTGGAGACCCAGCGAGTGACGAATGACAATATGGCGCTATACGAGAAGATCCGATTCCTGGAGCAGTACAACCGCCGCTCCTCTGTTCCCATGCGCAAGCTTTCCCCTTCAGGAGATGATGATGGTACAGGCTCCTATGGAGCAGAAGGAGGAGGGGCCGGAGGTGGAATGGGAGGGGAGGGAGGAGGAGGAGGAGGAGGCGGAGGAGGGATGCGGGGCTCTATGCAAGGAAGGAACGGAGGGGTAGGGGTGGGAGCAGGGGCAGGGGGAGGGGGAGCAGGGCCGTCTGCTTCTGACGTGGTGATTTTTGCGGGGGTGGCAGGGGCCCGGGCGGCAAGATATGCGTGTTTTGGCGTATCTGATGCTCCGGATTCGGGAGACGGGGCGGCAGGAGGAGCAGCAGGCGCAGGAGCAGGAGGAGCAGGGATGGCTGGTGCTGGTGGCTGGGGTGGGGCAGGGGCAGGGGCAGGGGCAGGGGCAGCAGGGGCGGCAGGGGCAGGGGGGCCAGCGGGGGCAGCGGAAGTGAGATACAGAAAGCTGTATGAGGAAAAGATGAATCCCTTCACGGAGTTTCACCAGAGGGAGCAGGAGAAGAGCTACCGGAATCTGCGCCTCCACGATAAGGTAACAGGGAATGTTTTGAAGTGGAGGGGAGTTGAAATGAGGGAGAGTTAAAATGGGGAGATTTGAATCGGTGGGGGTTGAAATGGGTGGGGTTGAAAATGGGATTGAAATGGGGAGATTAGGAGGAGTTGAATTGTGAAGAGTTGAAACGGGGGGACTTGAGTCGATTTGAGTTGACATGGGCCACTCTTTGGATTCCCCCCTCCCTTTCCTCTCCTGATTCCCTCTCCCCAGTCCCGCTCCCCCATCCGTCCCCTTCCTCTCCCCTTCAAATCCTCTCCCCCCCTGCCAACCCCTTCCTCTGCCCCCCCCCAATTCCCCCGCAAACACCCCAAAACACCACAGATCACTCTCAACAGCAGCCGCTTCCTGCTCACAAACAAGTACGGCCGCGCCTTTGTATTCTTCTACACTCTTCTCCTCCACCTCTTCATCCTCGCCCTCCTTTACCGCTCCATGCACCGCCGGACCATCGTCCTCACCCCTGCCGCCTCCACCTATCCTGCTGGTACTTCTGGTGCTGCTGGTGCTGAATTAGGGTTTCTAAACGGATCAGCATCTGGAATGCTTTCCCCTGCCACTTCTCTAGGTACAGGCATAGGACCTAGAGAAACAGGGGTGCCGGGGCGGGATGGCGGGGGAATGGGAGTTGGGAGAGTAGGGGAGGAGGGGGATGGTGGGGGAAAATCCAAGCCAGAAGTTCACACAATTGCAGAGAGTATAGCAGAGAGTGTTGGTGCTATGCTGCAGACTACTCACGCGCTCACTTCTGCTGCGGACGGGGTGAGTGGTGGCAGCAGCAGCAGCAGCAGCAGCAGCAGCAGCAGCGGCAGCGAGGGTGGTGGCAGTGGAAGTGGCAGTGACAGTGGCAGTGGCAGTGACAGTGGCACCAGCAGTGATCATTCTGACTCTAGTTTATCCTCAGCAGATGCTGACGGTGGCAGTAGCAGTGGCAGCGGCAGTGGCAGTGTTGTCGAAAGTGACGGTGCCGCTGCTAGTGATGGCGCTGGTGATGGTACTGGTGATATTGCTCGAGATGGTGCTGCTGATGGTGCTGGTCAGACTGCTGGTGAAGACTCCACACATGATGATGCTAATCCAAGTGAAGGTAGCAGTGCTGATGCTGCCACTTCTAGTCCTGATACGGATGGTGCTGATGCTGATGCGGATGCTGATGGGAATGGTGCTGCTGCGAATGGCGCTGGTGAAGGAAGCAGCGATGAAAGTGCGAGTAGTTCAAGCAACTTCAACCCTGAGAGCAGCAGCAGCAGCAGCAGCAGTCTTAGCAGCGATGTGACCACCAGTTCGATTTCAGAGGCTGCAATTGTAGGGTCTGAGGGAGGAAGTGGGGGAGAGAGTAGTGGCAGTGGGGGAGAGAGTAGTGGCAGTGGGAGCAGCTATGGGGGAAAGAGGAAGACTCGCAGGCGGAGAAAGAAGAAGCTGAGGAAACGAAGGGTGGTTGATGCTGCTTCCGGTGAGGGCGAGGGGGGCCGGGATAGCGGGCGGCGATGAGAGGTCCGGGCAATGGGTGGTGACAGAATGTTGACTTGACATATGGGGAAGAGAGTAAGAGTGACTGAGGGAGAGGGAGTGGGATGGAGTGAAGGGAAGAGCATGAGTGAGTGAGAGTAGAGGAAGGCTGGGAGTTTGAGCCTTGTCAGTGGCTCGGTTGCACTTTGGATGTTGGGTTTAATTCTGGGTGGAGTAGTGTTGGCTGGTGTGACTGGTGCGAAGGAGCTTGCTATTTAGTGTCACGATTCACGACGGTACTGGTTCCAGCACATGATGGTATGGTGTTGTTGGTCCTTGTAGGATTGCAACCCTGGTTCCAACACAAGGAGGATTGCAACTCTCCCCGCCTTTCTAGATTCCAGAACTGTGTCATGTCAGATGTACCTGAAGCAGCCTCTGCAGCAACTTGCTATGTCACCCCAAGAAAACAAGGAACCATAAAATTCCATGTCAACAATTCCACCAGAGCATCCTGGTTCCTAGACTAAACACGCCCTGAGTCATTCCCAGGAAGATCAAAGTAGGGTCCTAGGAGCATGGCTGCAACGCTACCAGCGCGTCACACAAACTGCATTTCCACTACTAGTACCAGCAAGCAAAAACGCTCTTTCTAAGAACCTCTTCACTTGCAGTACTTATCCGCCTTCTTCTTGGACCTCTCATCCAGCGCCTCTTCCCGCGTTATCAACTTCTCCGGCTGCGCGTACGAATACCGTACCGTTTCAAACGGAAACATCTCCTCGTATTTGGGAGTCTTCTTACGACCGTCGGGCGCGAACCCTATTCCCGTGTCGTATTCTTCAGCACCCCCCTGACCTGACTCTCCTTCAGTTCCAGCCGCTTCCCCCCCTTCCGCGGCTCCTCCCTCCCCGCCGCCTGTCGCCGCGTTTTCCGCGTCCGCCGATTTCTTGTGTTTTTTCTGCTTCTTCTTCTTGATTAGCTTGCTGACGTCGCCGACGCCTTTAAAGACCAGCTTCCCGCCGCGCACTTTGTCGAACGAGCTCGGTTTGCCAGACATGGCTTCCTGCGAACTTACATCCGTGTCAAGCCCACGAAACAGGTTCCACGGAATTCAAATCGAAAGGAGGTGGATTCGTAAGTCTGGTAAACCGCGCGACACTTTCAAATATTGTCGTCCTGCAAAGAGATTGCCATGTTACGGTAGGATTCGCTGAAGTCACGGGATTGTGTATGGGGTGCAGAAAATTGACCGTGTGAATTCTGTGCAATATGTGGAAGACTGGAATGGTGGGATGTGGTGGAGAGTGGTGCAGATTCCCCAGGCTTATGCTGTGGTGTTTTTACGAATAGTGAGAACAATTCCCTTCAACAACGTTTTGGTTGTAGCGAATTTCCTGTAAGCACGCACGGGGGCTGGCGCAATGTTCCAGCTCTTGCTGCCTCGATACACGTACAATGGATCCATGTAGTATTCGGACCACATACTTCGAGTCGCTAGGGTTTATTGAGTTCTATCGCCTCATGACTTGGATGACGAATTTCTGGGAAATCGAAGAACGTCAGGGATTAGCATCGCCAGGCAGTTAGCCGATGGCGGCGGATTCTTGGTCGTCTCCAGCTGAGCTATGGCAGCAAGCGGGTCCTCGTCTCCGAGTCTTGCGGAGCTCAAAGGCTGCAAGCCGCGTGCTTGCGCGATTCAGTCGTGTCTGAAACGCAACGACTACCAAACCAGCAGGTCGTGAACCCTTTTCTATGTCGCTCGCGTTCAGTTGTCAGAAACCGCTCGCGTTCAGCTGTCAGAAACCGCTCGCGTTTCTTCTAGACTAAGCGCGCACGCCGTACCATCGTTTCTGAGTCTTAATTGCCGTGCGCAGCCCGTTCGTTATCATTTCAATTCTCCGTTACTGGTATAATAGCAACGACGTCCTATTCCTACTTGCATCTCCTCGCCTCGCTCTCGTTCCTCAGATGTACCTCCCCCATTCGTCGCCTGCACGAGTGCTGCATGAAGTTGCAAGGCGCTGGCGTGACCTCTCCGCACTGCGCTGCTGTGGACGCGCTTCTGCCGCGGAAGGAGCTGGCGGAAGGAAAGCCAGCGGAGGGTTTCGGGAAAGAGAACGGGGACTGGCACAAGCTGGAACGTGGTGAAGGGGATTAGGTGTGTAAGTAGGTTAGGCAGATCAATTAGTTGAGTTGTGTGGCTGTACTAGAGCCAACGCAATACTCTAGATTATTTGGGTTAATGCCAGTACAATGATACAATCAGAAGATACGTTACAATCACATTTTCATCTGCTCTTTATCAAATACCATAGTAATGTACCATCAAATCTTAGTAAGTGGGCCATTTGAGTGATTGATTGTTAATACTATGTCAAGTTGGCAATGATTACATCCAGCCTAATGACTCTCAACTATTATTCAGCTTCTAAATATGCAGCAGGGAGGCCTGAGGGAGTGCTGACGGAGGAGATTGCTGCCAAGGCCACCAGGCAATTTGTCAGCACGGAGAGACAACAGAGCATTTCTACGTACCTAGATATAGCTGCAACCTGACTGAGTGTCGTGGGTGCAAACTAAGCTTCAAGCTGATAAAAGTCCTGCTATCAGTAATCTTCCACTAACTTAACACCAGGCTAAAGTCGAGTTCACTACAAAAGTCCTGCTAGAACTGTAGCCGCGGCAACAAGAATCCACAATTGATGAGCCAGCACCAGCCCCTCCCACGTCCGCGGACTTAGCCCCGGCGTTCCACTCTCTGGAGCGCATGTGCCCTCATAGGCTACTTCCGCCCCCGCGCAATGCGCCTCCTGAGCCCCGCACCAGTACGTAACGCCGTTCACGGCGCACACACTGTAAATACAGGGTATTGGCGGAGGAAGGGGAAGGAAGGGTTGGGGGGTTAGCGCGGAAGGGTACAGAGCGGCGGTGAAGGTTGGAGAAACTAAAGAAAGTGGGAAAGAAAGGCACGGGCGAGAGACGCGGTAGGCTAGGAAGGCGGCATGCTACTGAAAGCAAGACTTGACATAATGGTATAATTGTTAATCAAAACCTTCAGTCCTCAACGTTGGCTGATTTTCCAGTAACTCGGGACGCCACATGATTCAACAGAACGAGGGGAGGGGATGAAAACGCATGAACCCAGTCGAAAGAGGGAAGAGCGAGGGAACGCACGGGTTAGGCCGGAGGCAGGTCGACGAGCACTTGACCGGCGAAGCTAGCGACTTGCGCACGCTGGCTGCTGCTGCATTAGGCGATGGCTCCTTTACAGAAGCCCCGCTGGAACTAATTACGGTATCTGCATCCACGCTTCCGTCGCTGCCGTCGCTCATACTACTGCTACTCCTGCTATCTATGATGCCTCCGCTACTGCTGCTGCTGCTGCTGGGAGCGATCTTGGTGTCTGTGGTGGCGTTAGTTGAAGAGCGGTACACGTGGGTGATGATGGTGCGGATGGTTCTGCTGATGGTGTTTCTGCCTGCGCCGAAGTTCCGCTTAGTAGTGCAGGGACCTGGTGTGAGCAGGTGAGCAGGGAAGCAAGCAAGAGCACCAGGGTTTTAAGATTCATCCAAGCAGTGTTGAAAGCGTAGAGTAGCAAAAGAAGGCAGTTAACTCTAGATCAGCAAGGGACCCAGCAATATTGCGAAAGCCCGGCCGCATATTATTTGAAAGAATAGACGCTGATCCAACTCACCAACAGTCAGTCGGCCCTTCGTTGCTGCCATGGCTTCGCATTCGTCAGCGAACCTCCTGCCATTGCTGGAGCAGACCTGCAGGAGACAGAAGGACCCATAAGGACGGAAAGGGAGTAAAGCGGGAAAATGATTAAACCAAGTGGATCCACCGAACCAGGTAGGCAGCGATCAAAACGACCAAACAGGCGTAAACACTACGCGAGATTGTGCGGGTTCATCTACGCAGGTGCAGCTCAGTAAAAAACCAAAATCGAGGGAACGATTGACTTCTTAGCTAAGGACCTTCACAGATCTGCAGAAGAGGGGGTCTATTGCCGTCGAAAAAGAGTACACAATTGTCGTCTTGGTTATGCAAAGGTCTAAATGCTTCGATTCTGTTTTGCAGGACTTGATGCGAACTTTAGAAGTCTATGGCTATAGTAACAATGGAACGACATTGGAGCAAGGCAAGAAAAGACGCTTGAGACAAAAAAAAATCAGCAAGGGAACACATGAAACGGTATACTGAATGTCTGCGACTGAGTGACCAAATGTCTCCACCAAACGCGTTAACTTTTGCTCAACTGTTTCGATATACTCAATGACGCCGTTAAAGATGCACTGGACAATAATATGGTAAGGCGTTCGCAAGAAGCAAGACACGGATTCGAAAATAAAGAAGTTGTGGGGAAACAGGTGCGTACGGGTCCTGAGTGGGGATTGCAACCCCTTGTCGAGTGCTGGTCGGACGTAAACTTGGTCTCGTTGCTCGCAGCAGGACGTGACAGAAGAAGGGGAAGCGACTGAATCGATGACACGGAGCTCGCAACCTGCGGACCCGCCATGGAAAGAAAGACGAGCGCGAGCAGCAGCAGGGACGAGAGAGGCAGACTTTGACCACCGCCTCGTTGCCACATCAGCCATCGCCACCTCTTCAGCGGTAAGCCAAGTTTCGGCTGCAGCCACACTCCCTCCATATTTTTTAGACGTTCAAAACGCGACGCTACGAATAGCACACACCGCTCAGAGGTAGTACCAAGATCCGAGGAACCGGGCCGCGCTCATCGGAGAGATAGGGTTAGTATTTGGTTGAGCAACGGCCCTGTTAGTGGTGTCAGGTGAGGTGAGGCTGGGAGGAAACAGCAAAACTGGCGGTGAGGGGGTTCAAGAAAGAATAGCTGGAGGAAGTTGGGCAAAGGAAGCTGAAAGAAGCTTCTGAAGAGGCAAGGTGAAGGGGAGGGGATTGGATGGGAGGGTGGAGGAGGTGCGGGAAAAGAGGAACGAATGGAGGGTTGGGATGGTTTGGGAAGGAGATACGGAGATATGGGGGAAGAGAGGGGGAGAGTGTTGGGGTGGAAGGAGGGGAGGTTGGGGGGGAAATTGGAGGGAAGGCAGCTATGGGATGAGGGATTGAGGGACCACCGTAGCAACTGGCCACTCCAGTGACTGGTCAGTGAGGCTTGGGACTAGGTTTGTGGCGTGGCGATTGGGGGGTTCTGGCGGTCAGCGCGGGAAAATCAATGGGTACCTCGAAAACCCGCTCTCTCAGGAGAAGAAGCGGGTGCCGTGTGGGGAGGGGATGACGGAGTTTGGCAAGTGGAAATTCCCAGGTGAGGGGAGCGGAGAGTGCGGGGCCAGAGCGGGAAGGAATGGGGTCTTCGATCTTGCCCCCAAGTTCGCCTGCGACGCCAACATAGGTTTGTGGTTTGGGCTGCGGCCCGCGGGTCAAAACTCTCAGACGCTGCGCAGGGTGTTGTTCATGAATGAGGTTTCGATTGGCTAGTTTACCTGACAATATGATATAAATTAATATAGTTTAGAACACTTCGTGCTGGGTGAAAATGGGCAAGCCGATGGAATATGACCGCTCGCACAACATGTGATATTTGCGTGAAATTCGTAAGGGGCACAGCGCGTGGGGCGGCGGGCAGACACCACACCACACCACATGCCCTGCGCACAAGCGCGGTCTGATGATCTGTTGTTCCTTGGCGGAAATTGCTTTTGAAACTGGGCAATGAGAAGCGACGGCGACGCGCTAACGTGCGGGGAAATTGGTCTGACGATTTGGCGGCAGCGGAGTGGGAGGTTAGGCGCAGGTATGAGGCGGAGGACTCCCCCGATACAGGCGGAATCAAGAGGTGGCAGGCACTGCCTGTCAGATTGCGGAGGAAGCCTAGACTGCATGCAAGCCTGTTATTGGAGACTTTGGCACTTTCCCGCTTCCCGACGTGAAGGCAACGATACGGACCGCGCCTAGCACCCACGGAACGAAGCAGCGAACCGCTTTGAAATGTACTACACCCCGTTTGCCTGCTGAACTGTATTGTCCATCCTCTTCGAGCCCATGAGCCGTCCGATTCGTTCGTCAGATGGAGGGAATTGTACTACAGCGTTACAAGTAAACATAAAGCCAGTGTCAGGAACGTGCCACAAGCTCTACACCCGATTTGTGCCTGACATGGCAAGAGCTGATTGGCAACATAGCGTGCCAAATATGTGGGAGATACTGCTACACATCGCTCCCTACTGGAGCTACATCTTGCAACGGAAAAGAATTTCACCACACACGAACTATACAATCGCCTATAACCTGACATTCTTGTGAGAGAAACATTCACTATTCACATATTCGTTATTGTATCATTCTGAATTGACATCCTTGAAAACCCAATTCATTAATACATTTGTTACAATCCCAAGTGGGACTTGCGAAGGATCGCTCAGGGTTGATCGCAGGGTAGTGTTGCAGCGGAAGATTGAATCTCAGGTCAGAGTGAATGAAAATGACTGAGTTGATAATAGCATGCATACATCGGTTTATATAAGAATACAGGAGAATACGAAAAGACATAGACTAGCCATGTACTCTAAGGGGTACATTCCCTTATTGCAGCGAATTCAAACCGTGCGGCGCGGGAACCCGTTTCAAACCTGTTCCCGCTCCTTTCACTTCGAATGTTTTTGCCTGCATCGGTCTTGAATAGACGGTTACCATTGTTGCTTCGACTCTTCTGACTCATCGGCTTCATACACTTTAGAGTCGGTCCCTGTAGCATACAGGAATGCCTTCTCATAAAGTTTCATATCGTAGCACTCCCCTTCATTCCTGGGCGCGCAGGGGGTTGACTCGCTTGTACACTCCAGTGAGGTCGGAACAGTGCTTGTACTGCTGACGTGGCAGTCGCTTGGTGAGAAAGTCGGCTGCCATCTCGGTGGTAGGGCAGTACGTGAGATCAACCTTGCCCTGGTCAATTTCGTCCTTGACAAAAAAGTACCGAAGCGCGATGTGCTTCGTGCGGTTCACGAAACCTGGCTTGTTCGCAATCTTGGTGGCACTCTGATTGTCGCAGTGAAGACGAAAGGTGGGCGAAGTTGAAATTTTTGCCTCCTGCAGTAGCGCCTGCAGGTACAGACCTTCGCGAACTGCTGCTGTCGCGGCGATGTATTCTGCTTCGGCTGATGACAGGGCAACCAGCTCCTGCTTTTGCGGGTTCCAGGAGATTGGTCCTGTTGGTTCCAGGCGAAAAACGAAGCCGGTTCGGGACCGTCGATTTGCAGGGTCAGCGGCATGATCTGCATCCACGTAGCCGTTTAGGTTGAAGGAGGTTGTCGTCAGCGTGGAGTAGGAGAGCCCGATGTCAGGTGTGGAAATGAAGTACTGCAGGGCGCGTTCCAGATCCAGCTGGTTCTCTGCTACTGGCTTGCGATAGTATTGTGCCAGTTGGCTGGCGATGTACGAAAGGTCGGGTCGGCAGGTGACAGAGGCGAACAGCAGGCACCCCAATTTCTGCTGGTACATTTGGAGTCCTGCGGGCGACATAGGTTTGTTGTCCGGTTTGTAGTTGGCACTGGGGTTGCGGTAAGGAGTTGAGAGTGGTGCGGGTGAAATGTTGAAGCGTTCCCCCAGCTGCTCTGCGTACTTAGAGGCTGACAGATGAATTGCTTTTGGCGCGTAGGTGATGGTGACAGATGAAACTGTGTGACGTTGTGGTTGATGGTGATGTCAACGCGCTGCGCCAGGTTCTCTTCGAACTGATTAAGAAGCTTGTTGCAGGTGCCGGTGTACAGCAGGTCGTCGACGTAGACTGTCAGAAGGATGTAGTCGCCGTTAAAGTGAAGGCGGTGCATTCCCGGGTCGTGCGGCAGCTGCCTGAAGCCGATCTCCAGGAGGATTTTGTGCAGATGCTGCTGCCAGAGACGCGGCGCTTGCTTTATCCCGTAGAGGGATTTCTTCAGTTGGCAGACCCTGGGGTCTCACTCGCTGTAGGTGTGTGGCTGACCCACAAAGATGGTTGCGTCCACCAACGCGTATAAGAACGCGTTCTTCACGTCGATCTGCCGCAGTGGTAGGTGCTTAGCGGCGGCAATGGCGAGTAGAATTCTGACGGAGGTGTGACGATTGACGGGAGCAAAGGTTTGGTCGAAGTTGATGCCGTGGCGCTGATCGTACTCGCGTACGACCCAGCGTGCTTTGAAGCGCTCGATGATGCCGTCGGCGTTGGTTTTGAGACGGAATACCCATTTTCCGCTTAGCACCCTCCTCCCCTTCACTGCTGCACGATCGGCTAGGACCCATGTGTTGCGTGATTCCAGTGCCTGTAGCTCCGAGTCCATAGCAGCACGCCACTCCTTGGCGTGGGGACCGGTAAGGGCCTGGCGAGGGTTCTTGGGTTCGACGGCGCGCGTGAGGGTAGTGACAGACGTGTGTAGGCCGAGAAGCTGCAGGCCGGACACGGTGGTGGTGTTGCTGGTGGTGACCTCCACCACATCGTGTGTCAGAATAGCAGCTAGAAAGTTTGAACAAGAAAGAGAGATTGCACTAGCAGCAGATAGGATACATATAGCAAACCCTAATTTGGGCTGTACTCGCTATAGAGTACCCCACTGCAGACTAGACAATTATAGCATTCTGACACACCCCCATAGGCAAAGTGGGGTATGATCAGCACAGCAAGCAGTCGCATAAGAAGTTCACAAGCACAAGCAAAGCTAGAGCAGTCACAAAGGGCAAGTGAGGAGGAGGAGGGACTGTGAGAGGAGTGGAGATAGGAGGCGACGGGTGAAGTCGCAGACACACGGGCAACAGGAGCGGCGCACACGGTGGCTACCGGAGCAAGGGCCCCGGACTACAGGAGTAACTGGCTTCGCGGCTAAGACGAGCGGCAGGAGCAACGGACCCACGGGCGACTGGCGTAGCAGGCTCGCTGGGCTACCGGAGCAAGGGCCCCGGAGTACTGGCGCTGCTGACGTCACGACGGCTACCTCCGCTCAACCTCCCCCCACCGTCCCACACCCCTTTCACACACCCCTTGCTACACCCCTAGCTCCACTACCACGACACCCCCCTAGCGCCACTCCCTCGGCTCCCACACACCCACCCCCCTCAGCGGCAGCTGCAACAATGGGAGACGGAGGAGGAGGAGGAGCAGGGGACGGCTCACACACCCGCCACCCCCATACCCGCCACCCCCATACCCCCAACGCAGGCGGCGCGGGGCAGATACGCGGGTAGCTTCTGGGGCGCTGCGACGGGCGACGGGCAGGGCGGCGCGCGGGCCCCCAGGGCACCACGACGGGCGACAGGAGGGGGCGACGCGCGGGCCCCCAGGGCGCCGCGACGGGCGACGGGCAGGGCGGCGCGCGGGCCCCCGGGGCGCCGCGACGGGCGACGGGAGGGGGCGACGTGCGGGCCCCCAGGGCGCCGCGACGGGCGACGGGCAGGGCGGCGCGCGGGCCCCCGGGGCGCCGCGACGGGCGACGGGAGGGGGCGGCGCGCGGGCCCCCGGGACGCCGCGACGGGCGACGGGAGGGGACAGCGCGCGGGCCCCCGGGGCGCCGCGAC